GCGCTTATACTTTATTGCATGTTGCATGTATGGATGTGAGTTTACGCGTAAGACGAATACATCAATTCCTAATTAGCGTAGGTTTTCGTTTCACACGAGGCCGAACGCCCGCCGTTAATTTACCATGTCGTTTCGCCGTTCATCAAAATAATTGCACGAATTTGTTTCGGTTGTTTTTGCGCTTTAACGAGATCAGAGATCGCCGCTGTTGGCGGCAACAATAAATTCCGACGCTTGTACCACATGACTCTATCGCTCGTCCACATCAAATTCCCCTTTGTCTTCGTTAGGCCGGCCGAATCTGGCCGTAATTAAAGAACCCTTTATTTTTCGAACTTCAGGTTCGTCCTGGCTGCTTGCCTCCTGCAGCAAGCCACTCTCGGCAGCCGTTAGGTTTACTGCTTGACCGACAGTGGCCATCAACTCTGCTTTTATGCTCTATTATTATATTTATTTTCAGACGCGGCTATTTCGTTTCGATTCGGACATCGGAATGCTAACGGCTCATAAAATCGCGGCGTTTTACGTCCATAGCCTATCAGCGTCGAAGAACTAATTTTCGGTGGATTACGCGTCAGGAAAAGCTTCTACATTTTTACACCTAAAGAAAACTGGAATAAAACAACATTGTATTTATGTTAGGTTTTTTCCGTGCGTTACTAAAAGTAACATTGTGATTAATCAACTCTATTAAAGTCATCTAAATGTTATTAAACAAACAGAACTGCACGATTAATATTGCAACTAGTTAGTTGTATAGGCTGAGCGTTATTTAATGCCTTGTTTGTTTATTTTGTGAATCACTTATGACAATCGTGGATCACCTTACCATCTTTCTATACAATGCAAAAATTAATCTATCAGTTGATGTCTAAGAGTCAAACGCATCGATTCGCATAACAAAATTGGTGCAGGTTCATAATTAAATTGCGTAAGTGTTTTATTTTCTTTTATTTCGATAATTCAATTATGTAGAAGAGTTATAGGGAAATATGTTTATTAGATTTAAGTCCATACGGTAGTAAATTGCAATATAAACTAGTAAAAACTTTGCGAACATACATGTCTGCGTAATGAAGGCTTTGATGCCAGATGGAAAAGTTGGCGAAATAAAATAATAACCGAGCGCATTGTCGGCTCGCGCGAAAATCCGATTCGGCGTGCAACAGATGAGCGTGAATATAAATAATGTGCAAAGTGTGTGTGGTATTAAAGTGGTAATAATTCATGTCAGGGCGGAGGAAGTTCCAGCCGAGGGAGAGGAAAGCTGCAAGTTTGTAATTCCACTTTGCGTAATTGCTTTCACGTTTTTCCCACACGAATACATTTTTTGTGTGGTCCGTGTGACGAGTGCTGATTAGCTTTTACAGAACGCGTCAGTAGTTTTTTTTTTACCTTCATTTGCAAGTAACGTTTCGTTGATATTTGCAAAGCATCTGTTTTCTTTCCACATTAAACATACAGGAGCACATCACAGGATTGATTAACACATTGAATTTATGGCTGTAATCAATTCCATCGATCTGTATTCGTTTATTAACACATCCATCCGCAATAAAAGCACGATTTCAATGTTTGCGAATTAGCAAACGCGCCGCAGGTATAAATTGAAGTTCAAGCAAACAAAACTTTCGATTTTCAGACACATTAGATGTCCTGATTCACGCAGCTGCGCAACGTAAACGCAAAAATGCGCCTGGTTTATTTAAAGAAAGCGCCGAAATGCGCCTTGAGCGCCAAGTGAAGCGTAGTAGTATTATTGTATCCCTTTGTACGCACATCGCAATTACCAGCCATTGCACAATCCGACTTTGTTTTATTCTTAAATATACAATGTGCTCGCATTTGAGACGCGTGGGTGATTTACATAATTCACTAAATGTAGCATTCGGTACCATTTACAACCACCCACAATAATTACGTCGTAATGTCGTTATGTCCCGAACGCGAGCGCACGAAGAGAAAATAAAAAAAAATAATAAATGAGGGGCGCGGGCAGTGTAAGACACACGAGCACGGGGAAAATTAATTACTCCGCCCATGTGCATTGCGCTCAAGGTGAGGACTAACTTGCCGGCAAATTGTAATCAAATTATTCAACGTGACTCGGGGAAAAATTGCGGGAGACAAAAACCAACACGAGAAAATTAAATATGACGAGTTAGTGGAAAGCGGCTGATGAATTAAAATAGAGCCAATATCGTGACGTGCTGATGACTACTTGACTAAAAACCCCGCTGTGCGTTTTTTTTTTCTCTGTTATGATGACAATTTGTATCAGTAATCATCATTTGAAAGGTTCGATCGATTTCCAATGTTTTCATATTGGCCTTGCAAGTTGAAATTTTCTACCAACGGAAATAATTAATATAGAAAAATGTTCAACGCTGCATGTTTCATTAGTGCACTCATTATTTTCAGCTTGTCGGTTAACTGAATAAACTATTTATTAAACAAAACCTTTGATTTGCTGGCCATTAAGTAACGTTTGCTTGTTAACGTTATTATTTTGATTACAAAAGGACCTCATTATTAGGATTTCGTTTTGATTAAATTTGCTTCGATGCAGAAATGGATGAAATAGAAATATTTAGCAGAGATATTTTCGTTATCATGTAGGTACATGTTCAGGACTTTTGTGGCGAGAGATAAGAATGAAAAAACAACACTACCGCATTAGGATTTAACTGCAAACGTATTTTTATTTTGTAACAAAAATACTAATGGTGATAGATCTTTTAATATTTAATACAATAGCTGGAAGAATTTGAATAGAAATAATCGGTATAGGTTTTCACTCAGTATTTTTATACATTTTCTATTTATTGTCAATGCAGTTGCATAAATATATTGGATATTGACTGCATTTCTACACATTGCCTTTAAAGTGTAAAGAGTAAATATAAAAGAAATCTTATTGGAATCAGACAGTAGTTCTACTAGTAAAATTAAAAAAGCAACAACTAGTGGTGGAAAATATCTTCAAAGTTTCAAAAAGTGTGTAATTTTATTACTATTTTTTAATTATTCGTTTGGAGGTGTATTTTGTTTGCACAAATGTTTTGGAATCGTCTGAAAATGAACTCTATAAGTTTATTGAGTATCTATGCCGGAAAATTCGTATCAGCCAAACATGGATTAATATTTTTTGTTTCATACGCGCTAAAAGTAACTCCGCGTTGTTGCGAATCAAAGGAATTAGCGTAAAACCGACAATATGTGCTTTTATCTCGAAGTAAAAAATCGGCATTGCACAACCTGATTGCGCCAACTTTTTGCCCGGTTTTTCCCGATTGTGAGCGAATTTGTTCGGCGTATTAACAAAACCGTTAATGAGCTTTGCGCCGCACTTGCTTTGATGTGCCAACATACGCTAAATACTAATTATGTAACACAATGTCGAAGAAAAGATGTCGGCAACTATGCGAAGGCCACCACCGCCAAAGAACACGATCGAGCGCACGCTGGCGCTCCATTGTACGACGCTTTTTCGGCACCCACGTCGTCGTCAATGCCACCCGCATAACTGCCGCCGCCGCGCGCGCCCCATCATAATTACAAGCATAATCCATTCTTTTGCGTCTCGCTCGCACGCCGCATCATCCACCTTTTCCAATCCGATCGCTTTTTGGTCGCGCGCTCGATTTTCATGCCCCAGTGCGAGCTTTGATTTGGTTCTAATGAATTCACCAAAAAAGCAGAAAGAGAATGAGAATCAAAATCGATAGGCGAATATTTAAATTGTCTTATATATATATATATTTCATACAACGTAAAGCAGTCGTTTATATTTCATTCGGATAAACTTAATATTTGGCTGCCATACGAAGCATTTGTAAGCATACAATGAGATGTGAAGAACAGGGGCGAAAATTAGAAAGCAAATTGTAATTAAAAACTGATCCGGAGCGTTAAACGATCAAATAATGCAATTAGGTCAGGCGGGGTGCTCGAACGTCGCGTTTGAAAAACTCATTTCGCGCGGTTCCATTAATGTGCTTGGCGGTTGCACACGTTCAACATGTGCGCAAAAAAATATTTCATTTTGCTGATGTCGCCGGCGGGATAAGTGCACACCTGATAAAGCTTGATTTACTCGACCTTAAGTCCGGCAAAAACAGATACAAATAATCCGACCACTAATGCATCCGGAGTGTTTTCCGGCGACTCGCTTGTTATAAGTTATAATTAAAAATAGAATCAAAAGACTTACGATGCGTCTATTCCTCAAACGGATTTTTTGCGTTAATTAATTAAAAACTTCATTTTGCGTACGGATTTTGCGCAAAGTTTCAAGTGGAACACATTTTTCACTTAGTCGCGCAAAGGTAAAATGTGGGCATCTGATGAAAGCAAAAGATCAGCAAAGGTGTTGGAACAGGCGAGATTTATTGCTTTTGCCGCGTCGATATTCGGTTGTCTACCACTTTCCGGGAGCGCACTGGGCATTGCATTGAACGTTTGTCCTTATAGTCCTTTCGTTTCTGATAATATCCTTTCCGGCCCCGCTCGTCGCCGCCCGCGATTTCTATTTATATTTTCACTCTCGATCACTGTTCCTAGCTTTTTTTTCTACTTCATTTTTTTTCGCCTGCCTTTCAATTTTTTTCCTATTTTCCACACTCGCTCGAAATATTACATATTATTCTTTCCTATTCGGTTTTATATTCACTTTCATATTGCTCAAGGGCTAGAAGGATTTTTTTTATATCGCCACGAAATGAAAAAAACACACACGCCAAGATTCCGTACCAATACCTACTTTCAATGATTACATCGGCGATATCAATATCAAAGACTTTTTTCCAATGAGATCAATTTATCCATAAGATGATGAGACGATGAGACGCTAGCAGGGTTTTTACGACGTGTGTCGTGGGACGGAATGCTCAATTTACATTTCTGCACGCTAAATGGTAGAAAAAATATAATTGCTGAAATTGATCTGGGGACGAGTGTGCGGATAAGAAATGTGCGAGACAGGCGGAATAATCGCTCCATTTCGACGTGTGGCAAACGTATATTAGCGTAGTTCATTTGGCAGTCGGAGTTATTGAGATCGGTGCTGGTAGTCTTTGATGATTGGCAGTTGTAGAGCAGCGGAATGCAGTCGCTTTTCCAAGAAGTCTCTCACTCGTTCGTCGGTCTCCATCTTGATATGCCCAGTGAGGATCTTCCGCAGCGGCTGGGTCAGCCACGTTAGCGAACCTAAATTTGAATAATCTATTTCGATATCCCTGCAGAAACAGAAGGAAAAAATACATGAACACAATCACATTATGCGGAAGGTTTTGTTTTTCGTTACCCGACTTTGTCGGCGGTAAGAATGACCGCAGGTTTCTCGCCCACCCGTTTGATCACCTCCAGCATCCACGTGTTGCGATAGATCTTCGCTGAAATATTGCCGGCGAAGCCAAAGCCTTCATACTCGGTGGTGTACTGATAGTTGAACTGAAACGAGGAATCGTTAGCGTCTTATCGCGCCCACCGAAAATCAATTACTTTATAATCCGTAAGACCCAGCTCGCCATAGACGCGCAGCTCACCATCGCGCTCGCTCATGCTGCAATCCCGCAGACGTGTGAACGTGTGCATGCCGCCGATCTCTCCCCTGGCGATCAACAAGTGTCGCGTCGTGGCGTTAGCGCGTCGATAGGGCAGGACGACGCCGGTCGTTATTGCCTCGCTGTCGTCGAAAAGGCCCGTCGTCTTCGCTCGGTTAATGACGCTGTCTATGAGCAGATTTGCGCGCAGCGTTCGCCGGCCGAGGTACTCATCGTACTTGTCGATCTCCTCGCTTTCGTCCAGCAGCAGCTCGCTGGCCGAAAATTCAGTTATCACGTCCATCTGTCGCTTTATTTTGCTCGACAGTGCCGCATAGACGCTTGCCTGGAGTATTCTGAATAGTGATACGTCTAGAAACAGGCAAATTGAATTACTACACATATGTTCGATACTTGTACGTCAACCCAAAGCATTGGTCATATACCTACTATTTTAGATAAAACCAATCAAAAATCACATACCGTTTTCTCTGAAACTTGTAGTTTCGGGCAGTTGTTGATCTTCTACGAATTGCTAAAATTTATTAAAGGATTCATCAGTTTTCCAATAATCAAGTCTAAAATTCCAAATACTAACCTCAATTTCGCCCTTTTCGAAATAATATAAGTTTCTATTGTTTTTTGCTACAAATGAGTCGCCCACGCGGAAAAGACCCGCGGAACCTGTGATGTTCATCTTGTGTAGAGTCCATCTAAACAAAAAATTAATTTATGTATACCAACTTATCAAATTCCACTCAACTAATAATACTCACTGCAATTTCGCCGCAGCGTGCACATACAATCCTTTGAATCGTGTGATAGTGACGTTTTGTAGTTTACTCCGAAAGAGCAATTTGCCCACAGAGAGTTTATAGTTGATTATACCTTGTTCCAAATCTATGTTCATATAATTCACACGGAATTCCGGGTAGTTCAATTTGATGTCGCTCAAATCACTGGAAGCAGAAACTTCTATAAACATCTCCCCGAATGCGCACGCCGCTGACATGCGTAGGTAATAAATTAGGACTTGTAATTATATCCAGTTAATAAATGCATTACTGCGAACGCCACTGCAATGAATCGGTTTTAATAATGGAAATTCCGTCCAACGTAACCGTATGCCAACTTTGGTATAAATTAGCAGTGATGAACTGTGGATGCATCTTCGCTGGAATTGTTGCTACATGAGCATTTCGTGGTTAATTTGAGCTGTATACACGCATGCATGATAAACATAGCATTGGCATTTTTAAATTAGTGTTAGTTGCGCTGGTAGGTACTCACACGTAAATGTTGTCGAAGGAAAAGCCAACATTTTCCAGCTCGATTGACTTGTGCGCCTTCCTCAATCGAATGCCCTCGTTGTTAAAAGCCTGCGCGGTTTTTCCGAAAAGAAAGGCGAAATTTCATTACAGACGTGCGTTGTGTACATGCGAGCGCACACGCTCCGGCTTCCATTAGCAATTAATTTAGTTAACTAACAAGACTAGCGCGCTGAATACGCAGCTAAACAGCGTGATTCGAGGTGTGCGCGCTGAACTTTCGTGGTGCGATTGCGTTCTTCACGAGTGGAAGATGGAAGCGCGCGCGCGTTGACTTCCATCTGCCACTTTAGAGAAAATAATTATTTAGCAATTACGCGCGGCTAATTAATCGCCGCATGTGTGTGGCACTCACCCGCTTGAAGTTGTCCGCGAAGTTGTTGCCGATGCGCTGAATCTCTTCGGCGTAGTATTCCGGCAGCTGATTCTGCGTCGACGTAGCCATGACAACTAATCGAACACACGGTTTGCGGTCGCGTTTGAGTTAAGCCAAGTTTCGGCGCGCACTTTCTTTTCGGCTCTGGCTTAAGCATAAACGCTCCGGCAGAAACCACGAGGCAAAAAATTGAATGAAAACAAGCGATGAGAGTAAAAGTAGGCTGCGGTTTTAAAACGTGGAACCAAATGCGACATTGTGTGTGCGCCGGCAGGTACACGTCGCACGCGAACGCGCTGGCGATAAACAATAATGAGTCAAAGCGCGTAATAAGCGATAAGGTATCGTCGCGCGGGCAGCGCGCATGCGCGCCGTACTCAAGCACACTTCAATGCATGTACTATCAGTAGAATTAACTTAACAAGCTGTTTTTGTAGGTCAATAAAGCGGAGAAAATATTAAATTAGGTTTGATCGCTGCTAAAAACCACGTATTGAAGGATTGCACGTCGCAGATTTCATAGTACATGATATTACTGCGTTCCAGTAAAGCTTCTTAATAGCGTTCAAGGAATAGTTTGCTGCCAGTTTCTGCCGATGATAGGAAATAGTTGCGTCTTGCGTCTAAACGTTGAAATGTTTAATATGTGTCCTACGCGGAAGGAAATCCTAAACTTACATGCATATTATTTAAATCAGCAGATCGTATTCAATACTGCACCAAACTAATTGGGCGCAGGTCTTGGAATTTTGTAATATATGCAAAAGTCTCGAAACTAATTGGCTATTCGGGAAATTCGTGCGCGTGCGAATGATAATTAATGTCAGGGGCTAGAGCTTAATTAAAATACTATCTATAGATTGGAACAAAGACGGTGTGCGGCGGAATGATAATGGCCCAATGAGGATGATAATGATGAGCGTGATGAACAACGGCTCTTAAGTTGCCTGCATTGCACGCGTGCGTTTTCAGTCAGATAATTAACTCTTATTTTGTTTTCTGAAAGGTTGCGCCACTGCTGGTTTTTAAGGGATTCGTCTGCTGTTTGACGCGCTCGCTTAATTTCGGTGCGTTCGAGGCGGGCAGCATTGCAGACTAATTAAGTAATTTCAAGCTGTGCTAATTACCTGATTGTAAAACAAATTGCAGGATCGCGATGCGGATTACGCGCGTTCGGCGGCTGATAGAGCGATGCATCTTTGACAGTTGTTTATTACGAACTACAGCAGTGGAGATTACCGAATTCGTTCCATTCACTGGCGTCATTTGCTGGCGATAAATGAAAGAGGTTGCCAGGGTTATCAATATTGAGTTTATTTGGTTTGATGTTGGATAATCATCGGTTTTTCGCTTAAAAAAAACTGCGGATTATTTTTTGGTTGAATGCAATTTCATAGTGAATTTTGGTTTTGAAAAACCGGTTAATTGATTATTAGCAAAATAGAAATTTGGGTCAAATTATTTGAGTAAAAAAATATATATATATATATTAAGAGTATGATTAATCTTTTGGTACTAAGGTAATACATTTAATGCAGTAATCAACTTTGCATTGTTTATATTATTGCTGAACTAAAATCACATTTAATTGCGGCTTTTAATCATTAGGCAATTCCAGTTCAAGATGCTGTTTCCATCTTATTAACTTCTCTCTTTCAGCGCGCATAGTTAACATCCTTTTTCGTGCACAATTCGTTGCCAAATCTTACCCCTAAAGATTATGATGTAAAAGATACCAGAATTCATCAGCTATGAAATAAAAAAATGTAAATACCGCTTCCGCTTGAACTCCGCCGCGTCCCGAGCAAGTAAGAAATTAAAAATTAAAGCGCTGGCAAAGAAAAAAGAAACGAAAATTCGCCGTTCCGGCTCCATTGTTTCACCGATATTAAAAGATGAGGCTGAAAAACCGCGAAAGTAAATATACAAAAAGCCGAAGACAGACAGGAAGACAGGAAGAAAAACCGGAATAACTCGAATTTATTAACTTCTTTGTTTTGGCCGTGCTGCTTCGTTGATTTTCGCTAGTTTCACAGGATGAACTATATTAAGATTAGCGGGAATGACGGCGGGAAAGTTGCGTGGGCGCTGCTGTCCGCGAATATGAGCATTTCAAGACCAACGTTTTTAATATTATAATGGACTTTTAGTAAACAAAATAACTTTTTCTATTCTTTTGAGTTGTTTAATGAACAGCGTTCAAACAAGCTAGAAAGTATCCTGAGGTGAACAATGCAATTTCCGCTGAAATGAGATTTTATTAAAGTTTTGCCCCCGAAACATCCTACGAGAAAATGAGCGCATGGCGGAGGGTTTATTAAAGTTTCTCGTTTTTGTTTCGTTCCAGATGGATTTTCGAAACTGGGAATACACGCCGCGGCACACTGTGTGTGAGTTGCATGAGTGCAGCCTAGCGACTCTTTTTGGGCAGTCATCTCGCAGGTTTCACATGCAGGACTCTTTGAAATACGACGGCCGTACAACGGAGAAGATTCCTTACATACTTCAATTAACAACCGGCAACCTGAAACAACATTTGAATTCGAAGGAATATGCATAATTGTACCGACGAGCTTTTGCGACCCGAGAAAAAATATTGAACAATTATATATTATATACCCACAATATTAAATTACATATATAAACATATATATATATTCATATATATCCATATATTATACATTATACAAGGAGGCACGCTTGGTTGGAGGCGCATCGAGGAACACTAGGCAGGAAATGTCTAGCGCATCATTATGGTTCCTGATACCGTTGACGTTCGCTGCACTCCTTGGAATATTAATAAACTCCTATGTGTTACTCGTCGTACTATTCTCCCGCCAGGTAAGTGCCTGTAATTACCACGTGACTTGCGCTGATCAATATGGATCGCATTCTTTCAGCACACATCCGTCAACCATCTCCTGCTGCTGCATTTAGGCACACTGAATCTATGCTTAGGAGCCACTTTTCTGGCGTTTTCGGCGCCAGGCTTGGCGCACGACACATGGCTGTCCCATGGGACGCTTTGTAATCTGCACGGTTTCCTCTTCACCATATTACATCCGTTGGTGCTATGGACCGTGTGTGGTTTAAACGCCGATCGCTACTATGCCATCGCTGCTCCTCTGCATTATGGCCACTTGGTCAATCCGAAAAAGGTAAACACTTTGGCGATCGCATTGTGGATATTTAAATCTGAATTTTAGGTCTTTTTATGCCTGGGGATTGGATGGATTATTTCGCTGAGCTTCACTGTGTTCCCGTTCGTCCACATCGCGCCGTTCTCGTTCAACCGCGGCCTCGGAGCATGCGTCCCGAATTTCCAGACGGGACGCACGACTCTCTGGTACTCTGCCGCATACACTGCATTTACTTTGTTACTACCAATTACGTTGATTATTTGTTGTAATGTTAAGGTAGGCATTAATTAAATCGGCGAGTGTTGGATGTACTACAGCGTCGAGTTTTGTTTGTTTGACAGATTTTAATGATAGCGCGCTATCATCGTCATCGGATTGCGTCGGCGATTTACGAAGTAACGTTGTCGGCTCAAGTGACCATCACGCATCAGCGCAATCCGTTTTTCGTGCCCACGGTCACAGCGCCCAGCTCGGGCGGTCCGAAATTTCGCTCTCGGTCGCCCGTCTCGACCGTTCTCCAGCTGCTCGGGTCGATCGTCCTCCTCTACGTTCCTTACTACAGTATTATTTTGTGGGAGTCGTGCATCACATTCCTCGAATCTGATTCAGGCATCGACGACCATATTGTTCTCTATCAGGTGGTCCTGGTACTCTTGACGGTGGCACCAACCGTGAATGGTATTCTCTACGGGCTGAAGAATAAGCATCTCCGCAAGACATTCCAGAATTACTGGCGGAAGAAGATCACCAAGAGTGAAGTCAATCAGGAGATACAAGCGCGCACACCATCAACGTGTGGATCTCGAAGGCAAAGCCTAACCCCGCTTGGGTTTTTCGCCCGTCCGAATATACAGAGACGTCTCTCCGAGACACTCCTAGACGGCAGAAGAGAAGAGTCAACGGATGCAAAATTAAGAATTAAACGGATAGCGTCTGAGTTGTCATGGCGACCGCAATGTCATGCTGAGTTTTCTATTCCTCCTAGTTGTAGCACAACACTCCAAGTGCCTCATGCCAATATTTCCGAATGTAACTTGGAGATTGATCTGGAAAATCTACAGTTGGGAGGGAAGAGCCCTATGGAAACGACGCAATCAACCAAAGAGCAGATGCAGCACAAAGAAAGCCTGCACTTGCCGATCCAAAGCGAGAACCACCGCGACAACTCAGATCCCCCTGCAACCAAACGAAAAAAAAGCTTTTTGTATAAATTCTTCGGCGTCGATGAGAGCAAAACTCCAAAAATCCTCATCACCCGTGCCCTCTCCGAGGACGATTACTCAAAAGGTGTCCGAGAATCGAACAAACATTCCCTATCGGTAAGCAGCTCACTCTCCAAGTGGTACCATCACTCGGATTACAACCTACTCAGAGCGCAGACTAAGCACGACACGCACGCGATGACCAAACTACTTTGGAACAACAAAGACCCACCGGAAGTTGAATGCGCATATCACTACGTCCTACCCGCCAATCACCTGGAAGATGATTCCGACTCGGATGCTTGCGACAACTCCGATAATTCCAGCGGGCTGTACATGAATCTGGATAGTTTTGAAACGATACGCACGCAGTCCTGCGACATCGATATGCAAGACATGGAACAGATTGAATCGATTGAAACCGAGTTTGCGAACTGTTCGTATGAGGAAGACATTGAGTTGCAGCAGAAGTTGGCGGACTATTCGTCCGCAAACCGCAGCATTGATGACGCCGAAAATATCCGCATTGGCAATGGTGAGTTGAAATTGAAAGGCAAAGACTTGAAAGCAATCGACAGCGCGAAGGAGCACTGCAATGTCGACGAATTGGTCGAGATTAAGCAACAAGAAGTAGTTCTGTGAAACAATGCGCATGATGTCAACGAAATTGGTAGGCGCGCCAAACTTTGATTATTTGTGATGTAAATCGTATCGTAATATATATTTTTGATGTGATATTAACTAAGTACATAGTACATAGGCAGATAATACTTGTTTAGCTTTAAATCTATATACATTATATTGCTGCCGCTTGCCGCGCTGCGACAGCGATTGATGTAACTATATTTCACATTCACATATACACGTATAGATTAATTAGATAAGAATGGTGCATTTGAGTCCGTCAAAGTAACAGCAACAGCAACAGCCACTACAACGTTATTATAGAGATCTATACTACTATTTTTGTTAAACGTTAATCACTAAGGATCTAGTCTAAATGATATTCACAATAATGGCAACCTGTTAAGTGTTAGAATAGTTCTTCTGATTGATCAGACAATGAGATAAAGCTAGGCCCGGCCGACAGAAATGAACAGTGTATTTTTGAACAGAGAAACTTATTTATTTTTAAACATAAATACAGATATATATTGTACGTTAAATAATAAAGCAGATATTCTAATTAGCAACTATAGTCACAGTTAGTAGCAATAAGCATAGCTAAAATTTATTTATTTTTCTAAGAAGCACCAGAAACGATTACAAAATCACAATAATACAACAATAACGATAACAAATGTACAAACTATGAGTTGACGTTTAGATGAAATTATACCTTGGTTGTCATTTTGGCCACTTGTTAAAATGTATTTGGTTAAATGCTATGTTCCGTTGATATTGGTTGAAATATATAAGAGTTTATCGCTTGTTAATTGTTTAAGAGATCAGATTTAAGACAAAACATATATAACAAACCAAGTATAAGATAACCATAGACAACCTAAGACCATATATAACAATAAATGTCAAGAATTAACCGTTGATGTTCGACGTCTAATGCTAGAATCAACCACGACTACAGGACTTACCAGGATACTACACTACGATTGACACGAATCGAAACAATCAATGAACAATATACAGGGTTTGAAGGACAGTTTTAACACTGCATTTTCGACAATTTTGCAAAACATTTCGACGAGCATACGATTTTAATTGCGGTGGCAGCGACCAATTATATACCTACAGTGGATAGAAAAAGAAGCAAACAATTATTCAATTATGGCTATGAATGTTATATTAAATCATAGATTTATTGGGCGCTATTGCTATAGCAAGATATATTAGATAATCTATAGTTTCTAGTTTGATCTTCACGTGCAGTTTGCGGCCGATGTGGTAATCCGAGAACGTAAATGTCCCTTCCACGCTCATACAACTAAGAATCTGATGTGAAATAAATGTGAAACAGAATCAAATACGGTTTATCAACAAAACAAAAATGTAACAATTCGACGCTGTGTATCAAAAAGTAACCAAATTTTCGGAAATAAATATATTTTTGATGTTCTTAACCAACTAGCTGTACTGTTGGTGTTTCTTCTTAGTGGGGAAATAAAAGCGCTTATTAATCTGCTACTTCTTAGTTTCGGCAAACGGTCATACATATCCCCTCTCTTTTTATGTGGTAGCAGGTATCCGCATCTTGTAGCTTCACGCGTTTGCGCCATGTTAAAGTCACCTTCCCGCACTTCTTTCCTGCCTCTGCAGCTTGTGTTTTTGCCTACATATCCCACAGTGGTACATTGCTCCCCCACCCTTTATTGCGGGTGGAGTACAGGTATAAAAGCAGCTCTCTAGGTTCCTCTCTCACATTCACACCAACTACAATTTTAAATGGATTTAGGACATAGTTAATTTATTACTACACATACCAGTGTATCTGGAAAATCTCTAGAATTCAATATCATTGAGCCAAAAATTACAAAAATTTAATAAATAAGTTTTTTTTGTATATTCTTCTCCAACTAGTTGTCCGGTTGGTTCTTCTCCGAGTAAGGAACATTTACATCGCAGTTTCTGCCTCCTCAAACGTTTCTGCTGTGAGCTTGCACAACTCTGTCATAAGTGACTCGATCTCATCACATTTCTCTCCATGGTCCACTGCGAGTGTGTCTTCGATAATCTCCTCTAGCAGGTCCAGAAAACTGTCGGCTACATCACTAAGTTCACTATCGGTGGATTTGAACTCCGTCTTGGTGTCCGCAATTTGTTTACACGTCATTGCATCGTTCATACGCATCTCGCTCACGTCCTGGAATTGCTTTATCAATGAAACCAAACAGGAGGACGTCTTCAGTTCAACCATGTGATGCTCTTTGTTCAAGCGGACGTATTGGGCAGGTGTGATGGGTATGGACTTTTCAACGTATTGTAAACGATGCAACCTTCCGGGCGATACCCGATCATGGTCGCTATGAGTATCCACTGCCTTATGCTGTTCCATAACACAACTCATTTTCGACATTGCATCTCGCCGTGAACGTCGTGGTATTTGATCCTTCGGCCTGTGGGTTTGCTCTGTGGCAGTACCAATGCTTTCTGAAAAATGTTGTACCATTCTACTGAAAATGACAGTTTTAACAAGATTGGATTAATACCGTAGACCTCTGATTGTATGGCTTGACTGGACTTTGAAATGGAACTGCGCTCCATGAATTCTCCTATTTTCCTCGGAAGCAAAATGTACATTAACGTGAGGGCCATTGATATGACTAGCAGGACCATGATCCACTCCCAAAAGAAAGCAATCAGTACGGTGTGGATTTTCGTCGGATGCTCCTGCAGGAAAAGCAGGTGCGCCAACCACGTGTCCATTTTAGGGTGGTAATGAGTAGGAAAATCAACTTCGTACCACGCGTTCTCGGCTGCAACGCGCGTTTTTCGAAAATATTTCGGAAACGCGACTGATATAATTGAATTTTCACGATTATATGAGAATTGACATCTGTCTCACAAATATTTACTACAAAGCAAACCTAGATCAATCAAAACTTTTAATATTTTTTAGTTTTATTGGATTAGAACATACATTTTTATTAAAAACTTATGTGGACATAAAGTTTTAAATACCTACCTACTCAACTACATCAATAAGAAACAATTTAGTAAAGTAATCAAATACAAATTTTCATTAAATTGCTGTGAAACTCATTAGTTCCAGATTGTAAAATTCCTAAACACAAAAGAATTATTACTGAAAAATAGTACAAACCTAATTTTTAATTCATCATAACATTGCTACTGGACCTCACGATTATATTCGCTTTAACAACAGGTTAACCTTGATGCCGCAGAAACCGGCATTACAATTCCAATTAGAGTTGTTGTAATCGAATTGCAAACAGTGTACACTCGAACACTCCGGCACATCAGTCAAATTCTCGTAATATTTTAATCTAAAATCGAGACCAAAATAAAGAAACACGTGTGTATTATAAGAATTTTATTTATTTCGGTGCCATACTAAAGTTCACATTGAAATATTCTCTGCATCAAACAATAACAAACTCCAATCCGTACACGACTCGTCAACGCGGCTATCTGTCGCAGCAGACAACGACTCGTCTTCTTCAGTTGCTAACCGACATCAGACGTTGATGGGTGTATAAATAATCACTTCAAGTTTCCGGTAGGTAGGCGTTTTCGAAATCCACCATCAACGAAAATTTAACGTTTTCATAAATAAATTTCTACTTATGGTAATATAAAGGTAAAGGTTGTACAGTGCGCGCAGCGCACAGTAAATTTCGTGCATGCTGTAAGTAATAATTTAAGCAAGTATCGCGCAAGTGAATAAGTGCGATAGTGTTCGACCACGATTGGCGACCGCAATCACGACGTGGAGATTGGAGGTGAGGCGACTAAGGCACGAATGTATCAGGTGGCGCACAGTCTGGTTACATCAGGCATTGTTTATAACAAAAAAAAATTCACTGATGATGAAACCGGTGTGTGATTTTACTCCGTACTCGCCGTGTTCATCCCATTGTAATTATCATCTCGTTTGTGGCTCGCGAATAGATGTAATCTTTTCCGGGTATCGTGCGCATTGTGTTATTGTGCGTCGGATGCAAGAGTGCGGCTGCGGCGTGTGCAATAGTTTCAAACATTATTCATAATTCACAAATCGCAGGTAAGCCGATATTCAAAATGTTTCGTTTTTCTGCCAACAAATTGTCTATGAATTTGTGCTATTATTGCGTCTGGTGCAATACAATGAGGTAAACAATAAGTACTTGTTTGACAATATGTGGTCAAATTCTGGTCATGTTACAAACGGGTAATTCCAATATTATCAGCATTGTTTAACTTTAACATCGCTAACTGTTCTTTACAGTTTACAGTTGTAGCGATTTAATGTCTCCAATAAATTAGACACCGCAGTCAGTCGTCGTTAATAGACTTGTTAGGTCAATTTCGTATGGTGTGCAAAGAAACGTTTTTAATACATTAATTACAGTTTGGATAATCGCGTGCATAAATCGAGGACAAATTCATTGCTGTCTTGTGCGTGATCGAAGACGCGTTGTTAACTTGCGGATTGAGTTTGAGTTTCGATTTAGTTCTGAATTGTTTCAGGAAGAGGAAAGTGCCAGAACAAAACATGGTGTTATCTATGTCAATATCAGACGATGGCGAGAGAGATAATTTTTGGTAAGTTATCGTTTCCAACTGCGTAAGATAAAAACTTTCTAATATTATTATTATAGTTAATAGATCATTTGTTATTTTAAAAGTGTGGTGTCGAAGTGTTAAGTTAATGTAGGCAACTTGTTGAACACGCCAGGACAACGGCATTCCTTGCATTCTGCATTCCTGTACAATCATCGCGCATTTTTCACAATAATGTATCGATTCACCAGTCAATATAGCATTGTTTTTGTTGCTCGGTAGCAAAGTTCGACCTGATGTGATTGTTCCTATTGTAAACCGTAATTAAAGCAAGCTTTTCCGAAGAAATTTCCACGGAAAATTCATAATATCCTCGAGGAAATGTCGGTAATACTGGATAAGTTCCAGAAAATCACCACGCGAATGGAAATCGGGCGGCATACCGGCCAAAAGTACCAACGCGTCGGCAGAGAAGTTTCACCCGAAAGGTTAGTCATGCATCCTGCGAGGCCCCGAGTAATCCTGGCCGATCGAAACCAAATATTTACATCGATCATCGCAATGAACGGTATTACACTATATGTAACGGGACAACGTGTTGCGTCCGACAATGTGCGCTGGCGCTGCGAGTCCTGCCGGCGTAAACCTGCGGGGGCTTATCGATCCTTTGCTGAGCGTGGCACCTCTCGCCGGTTGACAATGTCAACATCTCTCGGATCTCGGTAATGCACGTTGCGTAAATTGGAGGTTACGGGCGTCCGGTGGTGATCTTTCCCAGCGAGTTCCGCGATTTTGCCGCGCCGAAGGATGGCAGAATGGCGGAACGCAAAGAGGACTCTCTGGACTGCGATCGCAGGTGTCGCCGGCAGTTGATCGTGCGACGCAATCGCCGCTATCGCAATCGAGCAGAGGTCCTGCAGGAATGCACGGCCAGCCACGCGCGGCCTTCCAAGAAGAAAGAACGTCTTGTTGGACCGCGGCATGAGTAAGTCCTTGAAGGGCGGGCATTCTCCGATGACTCCTGCTGTGTGTTTGAATTGAACATAGCTTAATTACTATGTCAACAATACGTGAATTATACATGTTGATATGTGACAGATCAGTTTTGGCACCGAGTGCCGTCAAGGAACGGCCCAAATTTCAAGTATCCTCTCACTTACAGGTCCCGCAACCATAAGAAGCTCCTCATCGCCGGCGGCGCGACTCTCTGCGTGGCCGTGTTGCTGGTGGTGCTGTACGCAGCGGGCGTCTTCGATGCCGCTGGATCTGGCAGCGGGAACAACGACGGCACCACGGGCAAGCTATCGCCACCGAATGTCCTGAAGCCGCTGCCGCCTTCCTTGTCGTCGCTGCACATCTTCAGGAAGGCGGCAGTTTGCGCCGATGGACCTCCATGTGCAGAAATTGGCAAGTAAGTACCACCACACATCCCGTAAATCTTAAAATCCAAGCTGTTTTTTTTTTGTTTTGTTGTATTTCAATAACTCATGCATGCACCAGCGTCACATTCGCTTTATTTGCAAACAAATGTGAATCATGGTATCTGGCTATAATTTCTTATCGCGTAATTCAACAAACAATGGCCTGGAACTTTTTTTTTAAACTCCGCTTCATACTTCACTACAGTCAAACGCATAAATATCTAAAAAATATATGTATCCAACTCCTCCAAAACTGATAACGGTATCAAGAATAACTTTAAATCTGTCCCAATTACCAAAAATATAAATGTCAAGTGTTATTCTGCCGTTTTTAGCTCCGAAAAAATGCGGAGCAGCTTTTTTTTTAATATTTTATTATCGCTGTGATTGTTGACGTATATTCTCGAAGTAATAAACTTTGCAATATTTGAGCAAATTGCAAACGTATTCAAACATTGCGTCCAATAATGATATGCGCCGATAAACGTAATTAAAACGCGCGGATTAAGCAAAACAATGCAATGCGCCTGCGAGTTATCATAAATGTTGCGTGATATTTCTGTTAGAAGACGAATGCGTCGATGTTGGCCTAGCGTATAAATAACTTGACACCGCGTTACTGTCTACAACAAACAACGCGCCTGAATTACAGCGGAAAAACGCAACAAAAACGCACGCAACAACAAAAATGACGCCTGGTTAACTCAAATTCATCATTTAATTACCACTAATCTGACACGTGTTGACGTGTTGGAGTTTTGTTTCCGAAATTTGGAATTTATAAACAACAAGTCTATAATTTTGTTGTTTTATCAAACGATATTCGAATACAGTAGTTTCTTTTTCTTTACTTTTTTTTTGTGTTGTTGGAAGACAATAAAAAATATTCAACTGATTTTGAATACATTGAATATACTGCGCCGCGAAGTGTGAAACAGTTCGAATCAAGTGTGTAGCAGGCAGGAGGATCGAAGCGCGAGTGCGCATTTCACAATCGCACCAACACCACATCGATTCCGGGCGTTCGCCGAGTAAACATTCGTGTATTTGTGTGCGTGTGTTCATACAGCGCGAGTGATTACATTCCTGCCGCGCTGCCGCTCGTCGCCGGCTATAAAGAGCGAGCGCGCGCGCAGCGCCCCAGGAGAAACGTTCAGTCCATCCTGCTGGTCAGCCGAGTCGTTCGGCACATTCGGTAGTTCCGTCAAAGTGTATATTAATACAATCCCACCACACTACATACCCACACACACACACACACACGTATACACCTACACAGAAATAGCCTACCGGCAGTAAACAAAGAAACCGAGCCGTCGAGAAGTTCGCCCGCACTCAGCCGCCACGGCCGTCAACCAGCTGCTCTTCGACGAAGACGTCAAGATGTCCGAGAGCCACTTCGATAAGTACGAACATTACAATTTCGACCATGACAAGCACCTCTACTCCGGCCACAGCGGCAAGCAACGCACGAAGAAGGAGGCGGAGGAGCATACCAACCACTTCGACCCGAGCGGCCACAGTCGGAAAATCGTCACCAAGCTGATGAACACCGAGGCTAACAAGAAAATGGAAGAGAAGGCGAAGCAGTAGTGGGTTGCCTGCCGATTCTACGAAGATTAATATTGTCATTTAGAATATATCACTATCCAGAACTCAGAAGGACGGGCTCGTGTTGAATTTGAATTCGTGAAGAGGAAATTTCTACAAGGCTGTTTTACGTTAGAATTATAATTAATTAATTATATATTTGAATACCATGTAAACGATTTTGTGATTTGTAGATGTTGATTTGCTAGTAATTAGTTTGTTTGAATGCGATTTTCTATCAATAGTATGCTAAACGTGTGCTAAATATTGGATTATAATTTTGTAAGGATTATAGCATATTCGGCGAGTGAAAACTTAAAGTGAAAATAAAGCTTAGTACAAAAGCGTACGGTTTTTTTTTCTCATATCTTATACATATTGCGCAACGATTGTTTTGGTCCGTGAATATTTCGATTGCCTGATTATTTCCAAGGCCGTCTGATTATGCATGCGCGCACACATGTGAATCGAAAAATGATTTTCGGCCGCGTTTTGTTGCTTACTTATTGCGCGTCTGCCACAGAGCCGGGCTTCAATCCGAGAGGTCGTGTTATTGACGTCTTATTCGCTTTTATCACGCGCTTGTGAGCATGACATTCAACAAGTTGGAAACACTTGGGAAGATTGCTCACGTTGCACACTAACCTTAAACATATGCTGCTTCGTTTTCCTCCAAGCAAGTCGGTAAATTAGGTCACTTATTACATAAAACTCGTTAAAATAAGAACACAAAAATACATTAGGAATATCTCTCGAACGTGCTGCGTTTACTTTCGCCTCACTTATCGAAAGTCGAAATTAAATCAACCGTAATGTTTTCCTCGACTTTTCTATCGCAGCGCACGTGAGAAAACGCATATATGCGGCTTTGTTTAAACATAAATATTTACGTTGATGTATTTATCGGTGCGGCTGTAATAGCACTCGAAAACGTAGACAAACAAACGGACGAAAATAACGCTGATAACGCTTCACTTCGAACTTATCACTGCTAAACGGTGGCGGCTAAAAAACACGCCTGTGTGTTGTTGTTTTTTTTTTTCGATCGTTCGCGTCTCGAACAAACTGTCGAGGTAGCAGAAACATCAAAACAACAGGATACACGACGTGATAATGTCACAGACCTCCGACCGAAGTCTGTTGCTTCAATCGCTGCGTTCGCAATTTATTAGCGACATTTTCATTGCAGTTGGAGAATTATTTTCACATATACAACTGGTGCCCCAGTTGCGATTCCGTAGACTAGATAATCGTGTAATAGTTTTAATTGCGTTCGGAATGCGTTTCAGCGAAATGTCACGGAACCTGAGTGGTTATTAATGCATTGGGGTTTATTGTATTATGCGACGGAGATACAGCATGTTTCGTAAAGTGCGCAACAACGTCACCCGCATGTCAGACATTCTAAGACCCAATAAGACCTAATAAGAATGTGCTTGTTTACTTGTAATACATAATTTGTTTACGTTATTATACAATCGTTTGGATGTTTTGCGATTTGCGAGGTTCTGTTGACCTTGTTGTTTATTTACGTGCGTGAACGTACCGTCGGTTCGCTGCGCGCGGCTTCTACCAAGTTAAATGCTAATTTATTTATCGACGCATGCAGCTCACTACTCACTCAACACCACTCAACTCAACTGCCTGTTATGTTTTTATGATGAAACCGAATCGATTTGATTCACCTTGCTGTGGAAATAGATAGCGAATTGTGTTTTTCTTTGCTGTTTCAGACAGATATTGTTACGAAACGGTTCGGCGGTGGACGCGACAATCGCCGCGCTCTTTTGCAATGGTCTTGTCAATATGCAGAGCATGGGAATTGGTGGCGGGTTCCTGATGACCGTCTATAAAAAATCCGAGGGGAAAGCCTATAGTCTGAACGCCAGGGAAACTGCGCCCAAGCTGGCCACTTCGGATATGTTTATGAATCGAAGTCAGCGTGCATCGAAAAAAGGTGCTTTGTAATTTTTTTAATCAAAACGCAAAATTTACCATTAAATGTTATTTAGGTGGCTTGTCTATTGGGATACCTGGAGAATTACGAGGTTATTGGGCGGCCCATCAAAAATTCGGTCGCTTGCCATGGAAGGAGCTGATTCTACCATCCATCGCCCTTTGTGATGAAGGATATAAAATTAGCGTTGCACAGAAAAACGCTATGAATATGTCTACAAATCTAGCAAAAGGATTATACAAGTATAATATGACCGCGTAGTTTAAAATATTTTTGGATTAACTTTGATTACTCTCTAGAGAGTGGTTTTTCCATGAAAATGGTAGGATGAAGAAAGCTGGTGATCTCGTCCGCCCTCGTGAATTGTGTAAAACACTGCGCATTATTGCTGAATTGGGCGCTGATGACTTCTACACTGGAAGTATAGCAAGTCAAATCTTAGAAGATCTCAAACGCGCTGGATCGATCATCACCGCCGAAGACTTGGCGAATTATAAAGTCCAATGGCAGGAACCAATAACGATAGATTTAAGTAAAGGCGAACGCTTATTCTCGGCGCCCCTGCCCGGTTCCGGGGTGCTGTTAGCTTACATTTTGAAGATCCTAGATGGGTATGGTTTCACGAGACAGAATATTGATGGCATTAATAATACGGTGCTCACCTACCATCGGATGATCGAAGCCTTCAAACATGCCTATGCGAGGAGAACTGAACTAGGCGACACTGATTTTGTGGATATTCAAACGGTATTGTATTAGTGGTGATATTTTAAGCATATAATCAATTTTAATTTTTAGTTGATATCAAATTTACTCTCGCCTGAATACGCGGAGCATACTCGGATGCTCATTGATGATACCAAAACCAACCAAAACCCAATGCATTACGGAGCTATTTATTATGACCACACAGGTCAAAATGGCACCGCTCACATATCAGTATTATCCGAGGAAGGAGATGCGGTATCAGTCACAAGCACCGTCAACTTATAGTAAGTGGAATGAAAGTTTGTTTTTTTTAATTTTTAATTTTGATCAAATATCTCCCGCAGTTTTGGATCTGAAGTAATCTCGGAACAAACCGGCGTCACATTCAACTCTGTCATGGACGACTTCTCCACACCTGGTATGATAAATTACTTTGGTCTACCTGGAAGTCCCAACAACGCTATTGCCCCCGGCAAACGGCCCTTATCTTCAATGTCCCCATCGATTATGATCGACCAGGCAGGGGATGTGCTGCTGGTAATAGGCGCATCTGGCGGTACCCAGATCACTACTGGTGCAGCCCAGGTCATCTCGCGCCTGTTATGGTTCGATCAAAATATCAAGGAAGCCGTTGATGCCCCGCGCATCCACCATCAATTGTTCCCGATGAGTGTCGGCTATGAGTACGGTACTCTGCAGCAAATTGTTGATGGATTACAGCGTCTTGGGCACAATACAACACGACTGACGGCTTATTCGGTTGTGTGTGCCCTGATGAAGAAGGGTGAGAATTTATTTGCCAATGCTGACCATCGCAAGGGAGGCGATGTGTATGGTATCAATTAAATCACCAATGCGAATGATGTAAAATTGAAATCTCTTGGTTTGCGAGCGACCGTTTGTGATATTTTACTCAATACCAGTTGGCGAATTTTACACAATGTCTATCTACTAAAAGTAACCGTAAAACAACGCAAGCGTGATATTACAAGAAATTGCTAAGTAATTAATTGTACATAAAGTAACATAAACTGTTTCCATTTGTGCACGAACTAGCTATATTGAAATAAAAGTGTTTTCTTTGAAATTAAATTGGAGTTATTTTTGATTTTGGGAAGTTAGTCATTTATTTCTTAACCTATGAAGGTGAATATGTAAATGCGCTATTACCCTAAACAAAAATTCAACACATCTAAGATTATGCTTATGAATTTGTAAGTTAAATATTATTCAATATTCCTATAATAGTTTAATTTTAATTTAAGAAATTGAGTGCACAAATTTGAAACACACTGAATTTGAACGTAAATAAAGTTGCCTACCTTTGCCCACATGCGCATCGCGCTAGTATCGTGTACATTTACACAATATCAGTCCGTCGTCGTAGCCGTGGTTCTCGTTTCTGCGCCAGTCGAAACCGTCACAAAGCCGTCAAAGCGTAGCAAATATTGTCATTTGTCGAAAATGTGTCAGGGTTCGAGAAGCAATATCTAATATCACACGAAATTTTTCTTTATTTCCAAACGCAACGCATCAGCAAACCGCAAAGCACAGTGCCCGCCCGTAAACACCATCCGATCGAGTAGTTAGCAAATTGATCAGTGCGGCGATAATCACGCTGGGAATGTCGACTTGGTGCGCGTATTAAGCGCACGGCGAGTGTCGACCTACAGCCCCCAATGATGAGACCAATAATACAGCAATAATAGAGGTGAGCGTTCGATATAACCGATCCCACACAGTCGCTAAACTCGCCGATCTGTTTCTAGAATGGACTCAGACTTATACTCGACCGATATATGCAGGGTGTGCAGGTCGGAGGGTCTTCCCGACCGTCCGCTCTTCCACCCCTGCATATGTACGGGCAGTATCAAATGGATTCATCAGGAGTGTCTGGTGCAGTGGATGCGTTACTCGCGCAAGGAGTATTGCGAGCTGTGCAGCCATCGCTTCTCGTTCACACCAATCTACTCGCCGGACATGCCGCGCCGACTACCGTTGCGCGATCTTGCCAGCGGCCTGCTCTCCTCCGTGATAACAGCGTTAAGATACTGGCTACACTTCACGTTGGTGGCGACCGCCTGGCTGGGCATTGTGCCGATCACATCCTGCCGCATCTATCGAGCGCTCTTCAGCGCCAGTCTCGAGTTTAGCATCTCCGAGTTTGCGTCGACCGAAAATCTAGCGTCGGATATTTTTCACGGATGCTTCATTGTCACCTGCACATTGTTCTCATTTCTTGGTCTGCTTTGGCTGCGCGAGCAGATCCTGCTCGGCGGTGGGCCAGATTGGCTGGAGCGTGACAATCAGCTGTTGAACCCCAATGAGCCCGAGCAGCAGGATGCGCAAGGCGAGCAGGAAAATCAAAACAATAATGATGTGATACCCGAACGGCCTGAGGAGGAGATCGCGGCGCAGAATAATCAGGATAATCCAGGTATGTTTTTACATTGAAAAATACTGAATATTCATGCATGACTAATTTATGGCTGATTTAATTACATGCATGATATGTAAATGAATGCCGAGGAATTATTTAAATTTAAGCAACAAAAAAATCATGCAAGAAGAAATGAAAATATTGCTAGAATATAAGCATTATAATATATAATAAATAAATTACTTTACAGCGCCAGAGGAAGCGGCGCCTGCTGCAGGTGACCCACCTGCAGAACCACAAGCGCGAAATAATGATGAACAGGAAAATGCCAACGATGACAACAACTGGATCCCAATGGAATGGGACCGAGCAGCCGAGGAGTTATCATGGGAAAGATTGCTCGGACTCGATGGCTCGCTGCTCTTTCTCGAGCATATCTTCTGGGTGGTGTCGTTGAACACACTCTTCGTGCTCGTGTTTGCGTTCTGCCCGTACTTGATGGGCTTCCTGTTTCTGTCCGTGATGAATCTGCGTGAGAAAGCGCTTGCTAGTCACTTCGAGGGATTGCTGACCACGCTGCTTGGATACTGTCTCGTTGGTATCATCTGCCTGGCACTACACCGGATAGCTGCTTGTTTCCGTCTGCCTCGCACGCGTAGGATTCTAGGCCTTTGCTACGTGGTAGTGAAAGTAGCAATGCTGAGCGTCGTCGAGATTGGCATCTTACCGTTAATCTGCGGCTGGTGGCTGGATATCTGTAGCTTGTCCATGTTTGATGCGACGCTGAAAGACCGCGAGAACTCATTCCGAGTCGCGCCTGGCACTTCAATCTTCATCCATTGGTTGGTTGGCATGGTGTACGTGTACTACCTCGCCAGTTTTGTGTTACTGCTGCGTGAGATCCTCCGGCCCGGCGTTTTGTGGTTCCTGCGCAACCTGAACGACCCTGACTTCAGTCCTATTCAAGAAATGATCCACCTGCCGATCTTACGACACATCCGCCGGCTGTTGTCGTCGGCGGTGATCTTCGGCAGCGTTGTCCTGCTGATGCTCTATGTGCCGATCAGGTTACTTCGGTATCTGTTACCGAACTTCCTACCATACACGATCTCCCTTAGTGGAGATCTGCAAGTGAATGAACTCTCATTGGAGCTGCTGCTGTTGCAGGTCATCCTGCCGGCGTTATTAGAGCAGGGTCACACGCGAACCTGGCTCAAGGGATTGATCCGTGCGTGGTGTAAAGTGGTATCATGGTTCTTGGACTTGCATTCATATCTTCTCGGCGACGACGAAGAGAGCCAAGAGCGACAACAGCAACAACGGCAACAACCGGAGCCGCAAGGTGGCTTGGGAGCTGCGCATCAAGCGCTACTCATCCGAGACGCTCCAACTGGCTTTCGTCCGTATGACCGACCTTCGTTTTTTGTAATGCGGATTGTTTTACTGCTGCAATTGGTTTGTTTTTCGCTGATAGCGTCGAGTCTAGTTGCGCTGACACTACCGGTTTGGATTGGGCGCAGAGTAATGGCACTATGGTTGGTTGGTGCACCACCACCAAGTCCGCAGATTACTCCGTCGGCGGCGCAAACTGGAGTTTTGAAAGTGCATGAGTTGTACACGGCTGCATGCGGTACATACCTCTGCTGGTTAGCGTTACGAGCGATTAGTCTCATCGTCAGTTGGCTGCCACAGGGACGCGCAGCGATGATTAACCGCCTGCGGCATTGGTGTGTGCTAGGCGCGAAGACCATAGTCGCCAGCACGATTCTCCTCGGTGTGATTCCACTCCTCCTTGGCCTGTTACTTGAACTCGTCGTCATTATACCACTACGTGTACCTATTCATCAGACCCCATTATTGTTCATCTGGCAGGATTGGGCACTAGGCGTGCTTTATACGAAAATCGCCTGTGCGATCACAATGATGGGCCCGGATTGGTTCCTGCGCACCGCCATCGAACGCGCATACCGTGACGGCATCCGCGAGATGAACCTGCGCTTCATCTTTCGCGAACTCGCCGCACCTGTTGTCATCAGCTGTGGACTGGCGCTCGCCGTGCCCTACGCAATTGCCTACTCAGTGGTGCCGCTGGTTGTAAGCAACATGTTTATGCGCAACATCATCGCGCGCCGCATCTATCCGTTCCTGCTGCTCGTCGGCCTTGCGCTGCTGGTGATTACGTTACAAATACGGCAGTTCCGCAAGTTGTACGAGCACATCAAGAACGACAAGTACCTGGTGGGACAGCGCCTCGTCAACTACGACCATCGGCGCTCACGTACACGTGTCGCGTCGAATTGACCGGCCACGCGCGACGTTTCGGCCGCACGCTTGGACACTTGAATCGGCCACGATCGCGCTCAAAGAATTTAATATTTTTGTGACTGTTTTTGTATGTTTTGTATGTACATTTGCGCTTCGACGGCGTTAGCGAAATTGATGGTGCACGGAGGTGGATGATTGCGTGGGGAGCCTTGTAAAGGTAGTTCGGTTAGGAGAATTTATGAAGGCGGTGATGATCATTTAGACCGGTTGTTTTTTTTTTGTTTGTTTGTTTAGTTCTGTTTCTCGAACATCACTTTTGTTATCGGTACATTTTTCGGAGCATGGGGGATCTTAACTACTTTCTGACACTGAAATATGCAAGCTGATCTTATGGAGACTTCTTTTCATTTCTGGTAGTACATTGTAAATTTGTTAGTACTATTTTCTGTCAATCAAATTGATATTACTTGATACAGCTTGTATATGTGATAATTCTTTGTGTAAAATAAAGAAATCCACTTGAAATTCAATCAAAATGAAGAAGAATCGAGGTCATCTAGTTTTTGTTAGCTGTTCTAATGCTAGTAAACGAGTACAATTAGTTTATTTTGAGAAAGAATTTGCCAGTCAACGTTGAAACAATATAAGTCCACAGTGAGACTTCCAACTTCCACGAGAATCCCAAATACTGCAAGAAGGTTGTTGTTAGAAGTTGGTCGTAATAAGAAAATTGTGTTAACGAATGAAAAATTGATCAACACCTTGAAAAAACAACTATATTGGTAAATTAATGCTAAAACACAAAACAAATGTATGAAATCTTATCAAAAACTAACAATTTAATGAAAATCAAAATGGAGGACGCACTGAATACGAAAAAAAAATAATAATGAAACAGTGATTCAAAACTTGAAAATCTTTTTGAACGTGTCCACGAGTTTTCCCTTATTACTTGCCTTTTCTTTAAGAGTGTTCTCCTCGGTAGCGTCCACCACTTCCTCCCTGCTGGTAACTGTGTCTGCCACCCGAGATTCGTTATTTACATTCTTATCGGTCGATTCATAGAATCGAGTCTGGTAAAACTCTGACAGATCGCGGCTGGTCCGGTCGGTGCTCTCACCACTTGCATGATGAGAACACGCGCGTCCCTATTGTTTCTTCGGCTTGACAACGGCAGAAAGACGAGAGTGTGGCGTTCGTGGCTGCGACGCGTGTCGAACTAAGTCTTCGTGGCCTTCAGCAATCATGCGCTGCTCCCATTCTTTCATCTGCAGTTCATAACGCTTCCTGTCGTCTTCAAAAAGTTGCACATATTTCTGCTTCACGGCGTCCGGCAGGAGTTGAAACTGTCCTTTGTACTTCTGCATTAATACCACCATGTTCTCCTTCTCATCTTTAGACTTTTCCATGAGGAACTGCATGTAGGGACCTAGAGGTCGTTTTGGTTTGTGTAAATCTCTTGATTTCTATAAAAAAAATAACAAATTTCACAACTTCTATAAGGAATGAATATAAATATTTATACCTTCTTGATCTCCCTCTTCAGTTTGCTGGCAGTTTTGAGCCTTCTGATCTCTTTGATACTTTCTTGTTGTTCAGGTGTGAGTTTCGCATTGTACGCGGTCATCTTCACAGTGTACTCCTCCAGGTCTTGCTTGTATTCATTAGTATACTTATCTTTGATGCTAGCATGTGCCTTTGCCCAGTCAGCAGCACCCATCTTCACCAACTCAGTGGCTTTCACCTCTGGATTACTCTTAATCTTATCTTGGCGGTAATCCCTCAGGAACCTGAAGTAAGGAGTAAGTGGCTTCTTTGGTTTATCCGGGATATGCATATCACGCAGACGATCTTTGCAGTCCTTAAGCGTCGCATGATTGCGACTGGTAATGTTTCGACTGTAAAGTAAACAAAATGTGATGACGCCATGCGTTAGTATTTTTGATTTAATTGATTAAGTTATTATTATTATTAAGAGTCTTTACCTGGTGGTTGTTTGCAACGCGCTGCGCAACCCGCTAATAAATTTATATAGTGCCATTTCCACCCGAAAGGAAACCAGAATCGCAAAATTTGATTGATTTATGCGTTCGCGTTCGCGTTCACGCCAGATAGGTTAAATCACGAATTCGTCGAATATCCAATGTCGGTTAGGGAAAAATGGAAGGGAAAAGGGATAGGAACGCCTGGGATCGCCGCAACCAACAAAGATTTCTCCAGAATTCCCTTAACGTTTATATGTAATTACTTATTTATAGCGTTTGCTATTTTAAAAACCGTTGTTGATGACATAACGACCTTCAGATTACAAAAAATAGTTTATTAATAAATATATAATTGTTTACAGTTTCTGCTCGAAGCGATTGAAATTTTTATTCGTGAGGAGATTATGATAGCAAGTATCAAGTGAAGAAACCGGCCTGAGAGTATCTTTCGAAATTGTCGCTTCTTCGCGTTTTATTTTAAACGGTCCTCGGATAGGATTCCACATACTGACACGATGCTTATTGTGCAGCATAAAACCCATTACAACAACATACAGTCCGATTTCGTCGGTTTCGCGACGTTCTGACCATTTATCCATTAATTGTTGCCCTTCACTGAGACATGTACAAGCGTGCATCACATCTGTGAGATCGCCAAAGTAACGCAAATAATTTTCATGCAAGAAGCCCATAAAAGTCGTCGGCTGCGTGCTGAATTCATCCACAAGCACACCTATATCATGGTGAATTCTTTTCGTGTCAGGGTCGATCTTCGGGTGTAAAACACGACCGACAGAATGGAAAAGTCCGAGCGATTCGTCTTTCAGCTTAGCTTTCAATGTAACACTTTTCGTGGCACGTTTTCGCTTTGTGCCCGTTTTCGTTAGAGTTTCTGTTTGGATATTCACAGCCATTTCAGTTGAACCTTTGATTGCAGCAAGATAAAACTGAAAAACACAGCATCGAATATCTCCTGTTGATGCAGCACAAATCGCTTCGATGACATTATCGGAAGGCATATTGAATAGGTTCGAGTTGCATTTCACCAAGTTTTGCGCACATTTCATGGCTCCTTTCATCAGTGTAGTCGCGCAGGCATTAAACGCAATTACGTCAATATTGAATTTTGTCTTACTCACATCCGGAAATAGATTTCTTTCGATGCTTGTAGCCGGATTTCCATCATCAGTCGATACAAATATAACGCGTACATTAGGAAAGTCAGTGATATCTCTGCAAACAGAAAATTAATGTCATAACTCCCAAGAACCAAAAAAAATACTAAACTTACTCTAAAACTGTTGTAAATGTTTCCGGATTTCTCAAGAATTTGTTTGGAAATTCTCTTATTAAACAAACATTCCACTTTTCACCAGAACACAACTTCTTATAACTGCATTCCTTCACAAATTCAGTGAATTGTGAAACTTGATTAACATAGTTATCATCATAATATGTTAGTTTATCAAACATATAAGTAGGTGCATTGAGTGGATTGAACCATTCTGTGATTCCAATGCCTTTGCTTTTACATAAGACTTGAATTGCAGATGATTTTCCACAACCTGTGGGTCCAGTGACTAGAAGCAGTGATGTTTCCTGCCATGCATTAATGACATACTTCTCTAACCAGGAGTCTAGTTCAGCAATTTTCTTAGGATGCACAGCTAAATCCTTTACTTCTTTGGGTTCTAACTCCTTAAAGAAGTCAAAACTCTGGCATTTAAATGCAGTTTCCTTTGATTTATTATCTGCCTTCTTAGTTTCTTTTGGTTTCTTTTTAACAACTGCAATTGTTTCAGCAGTTTTAATGTTTGTAGATGTTGTAGATTTATTTGATGTGGTTTGTTTGGGAATGTTATCAAAATCAAATAAATTCCATTTCTAAAATAATCAAATTCATATAAAAATGGTATCTGGCCACATTTCAGTTAAATATAATGATTACAAGAAATAATAATATTAATATATTAATTGTAAACATAGCTTACCTTCCTTTTAGGTGGATTCATGGTAAATTTGCTTTAAATTTTAACGTTTTCAGATAACCTGACTAGTTTCATTCATCTGAGGTTAACAGTTGCACACTTTAACTTTTTTTAATTAAACTGAAATTAAAAAACGTCAAAATTGACAAGTAATATACTCGTGGAATAAAATTTCATTATTTATTTAATTGTTGCTTTACTTACTTTCAAAAGGTAGTCATAGTTTATTTATTTATTTAAAAAAATGAATTTGAACGTCAGTGTTACCAACCATTACCAACCGTACATCTGTCAAGAATTTTGACCTTCGTGTTTCCCCTAGCGCTGCGTGCATAACTGCCCGGCGTCGCTTCTAATAAATGAATCAGAATTCTTCCTCCATTTAATGCTTTGAATGCTAAGAACTCATCCGTGCTGTGCCTCTTAGAACAAACTGCAAACGTTTAACACACGCCTGCTTCACGAGCAAAATGTAAGTAGAGCATAATTCTGGAGTTTACGTAGTTAGCTATGAACTAACCTCCACGTTGTCCGTAGGGCTAAAATTCACCCGGAGAACGAAGATAAAGAGAAGAAGAAGGAACGCAGTAAAGACAAAAAGAAGAAAACGGATGATAGCAGCAGTAGTGATAGCGATAGTGGAAGGTAATTAATTGAATAGTATATCTAATTTGCTTAAGTTTCGCACTTTTACACATTCAAAACATCAAGATATTGATTAATTAAACTTCATTGCCTGCTTTTAAATGAAAACAGTGTTATAGTAAATGCATGCATTCATTAAAATAGCCTGGCAGTGTGTTAATCACAAGCATGCAACTTTTATTAACTTAAGGATGATATATTTTAATATATTTGTAATATTTGTGGAGTAAATTTTGACTAATTTGTGTTTCATACTTCCCAGTTCAAGTGGAAGCTCATCTAGCAGCTCGCGGTCATCCAGCTCGTCCAGTTCGGGCTCAAGCTCGCGGTCCAGCAGCAGTTCATCCGATAGTTCATCATCTAGCAGTGATCACAATCGTTCGCGCCCGAAACGCCGCTCGCGCTCCACGAGCACCAAGAAAAGCCGCGACAAAGAATCCAAAGCAAAAGGCGTCAAAGCCGAAAAAGAGAACAATCGCAGCCGCGAAAAGGTAAAAGATGAGAAGGAAACCAAGCGTCGTACGCCATCCAAAGAAGGACGAAAATCACGTGGCAAGACACGTACAAAGTCACGCTCACGTTCACGCTCACCACGTAACAAGCGCCGTCGTCGCTCGCCAACCCCACGCCCAACGAAAATCCATATCGGGCGCTTAACACGCACCGTTAACAAGGACCACCTCCTCGAGATATTTTCCATGTACGGTAAGATCAAGAACATTGAGTTCCCCAAAGATCATGTGCATGCGAACATCGGACGCGGTTACGCGTACGTCGAGTACGAGACCGCCGACGATGCAGAAAACGCGATGAAAAACATGGACGGAGGGCAAATTGACGGGCAAGAAATCACCGCGGCGCCTGTGGTTATACCAATGCCGCGAGCACAACCACCAAGACGAAGCCCACCGGTGCATCAACGTCGTCCACCACCAATGCGTCGACGCACACCGCCGCGCTTCCGTCGGCGTTCGCCTTTCAGACCGCCGAGGCGCAGCCCGCCTAGGCGACGACAATATTCAAGGAGTCCACCACCACGTCGCCGCAATCGCAGCAGGAGTAGTTCCCGCAGTAGCTCGCGTTAATCTACGTTTAAATTTAAATTCGATAGACTTTAATCTTACATATTTTGACGATGTGTGCTGTCAGACGTTTTGTATCCTAAGTTTTATTGTATGTAATTTGAAGGATTACTTTCAAGTCAATTTCCCAAATGTGTAGGGTGGTAAAAAGTTTGAAAGTTGACGGATGACTCCTTAGTTAGAAACATTTCTAGTTGTAAAAGGCAAAAATAATTCGAACTCATGCAGGATTTATGCATTTTTGTACCATTTCAAGCTAGATTATAATAATCACAGAAATTTTCAGCCACTGGTCATGAAGCTACAGAGTAAATAAACTGTTAATATCTAAATCTGTGTGCAACGGCGAATAAATACATTGAAAGCAGAAAAGTCATGCAAGAAAACTTATATTATTGTATGAAACACATGCATGATAAAAAAAATGTAAGCTTGAAACTTGTTTCTGTACAATTTATTTATGCAAAAGTATTTTATTCGGACACAAAAATAAAAAAAATCAAACAACATCGTCGTCCACGCGGAAAATCGCAAACACCATGTCCAAGAAAATGTAAGCAAAGAAGTACACGGCCACTTCCTTGAGGAACCGAAGCACATGATTCGCTGTAATCACGACGATGCTCAGGCGCCGCCCCGAGATATTGTTCAACATGAGCATCAAATTGAGCGTCTTGCTCATCTCCACCGTCGGCGGGCAGACAATATACTCGGTGATTTCATAAATAAGAAACGGCACGAAGATCATGCTCAAATGCAGGTAACTCAGGTCGAAGCCGACGATCTCGTCGCCGTTCTCAAAGATTAGATTTATGTACCTAACTGCAATGCCCAATAAGAGGATGATACCTTTGCGATAGCTGGTGAGTTTCTTTGGCTGTTCCAGGCCGGTATCGGTGGGATTGCTGGCGAAGCGTGGACCAAAGAGCTCGTCTTCGTTGAGCGCTGGTGGCACTTCGAAGTCATCGTCCTTACCGAGCGGGTCTTTGTCTTTCAGCGTTGTGAATTCGCCTCCAGGATTACTTTTGTCGTCTATAAACTCCCGGTGAAAAGGTGAGTGTGATTCGCGCAGGGCTACTGTTGTGAGCGGATCGGCGACGCTGGCGGCCCGGACGGTTTTCTTGAGATTTGTGAAACATTTCATGCGGCTCTCAGCATTGTCGAGGATCCTGCGGCGTCTTCGCTCCCTACGCGCAGCCAGAGCTTCGGCATCAGCCATCTCGTGCACTGGTTTATTTTGCAGGATGTTCGCCGAGAGATTTTCCCGGGAATTATTTGACAAAATAGAATTTGACAGGCGTGAACTTCGTGCGCACACGAATATTGCCGAGCATAAGCAGGATTGATGTTTATTTTGATTTTATTTATTTTATTTGGTTTATTATTTCTTTCACGGAAATAATTAAACTGAATAATTCTTAAAAGAAATGCTTGGTTATATGCTTTTGTTTAAAACATTATAAGAGCATTGATTACATTCCTTCTTGTATAATGATAATTTTATTATTTTAAGCATTTTGTAATGTCTCAACGATCTGTTATAATTCCTGCACCGCTGAATATTTACTTCAAAGTATTTTGCATCAGTTGCATAAGTTTATCTTGTTTATGTTATATTTGTTGGGTTAAATAACCTTGGAACCGCGCTAAACGCTCCAAATCAGCTCAAATCAGCTGTTCACAGCAAAATGGTTATTTATAATTCTCGAATTCGCATGATTTGCTAATCACTCTTTAGTCGTCCTACTAGACTAGACTGTAGAAATAGAAAGCATGTGCACATAATCTAAACGCTTATAAATTTAGCAGTAAGTAATATAAAACGCTCGATGAAGTTTGCGGATTGTATTCCGCTGTAACATAAATATTTACATTAATTTGAGCTGTGACTGAAAAACTTCGTGCCATTCATTCACACTTCATCAAAATGGTAAGTTATTATTTTAGTTCTTGTTAATAGTGCATTATAGATATATATTTTTAGCAAGTTAGAGTTAATCCTGATGGGAGCTTCAGGACTCCAAGACTTATTCCACAAGGAAGATCCAATTACTTTGAGTACTGCATTGTGGCATTGTGTGCAGTCCTTTTTGGAGGTAAAAACAAGTTGACTTGGTGGTAAATGATCACTTTTCAATTGATTTATTTGAATTTTCAGTCGTTTCCTGCTACTATGACATGCAATATGTGATGTTTTGTGGTGAGTCATAAGTTATTATCAATTTTTTGCTGATAATTTGATATCATTTTCACACATTGTGCTTATTAGTTCATTATTTCAATAGAACTTGTATAAAGAGTTTTATTATATGAGTATCTTCATTACAATCCAAACTAAAGTTTAACAACAAAATGTTTAATTATAAAAAAAAATCATTTACTGTTAATGGACAATTTTCAACAAATTTTGAACAATCCCCCCAGATAGATTCAAATTCCCGTTTAAAATCGGCGTAAGCGGTTCAAAGAGATGTAATTTATGCCCGGGTACATCAAAATAAAACTTTCCCACCGCATCAACACTAACATGCTCCCCGTAAACTGTCTGCTCGTTAAAATTACAAGCGCCTCGCTTGAAATCATCATAACTATCACACTTCGTCGCCAGATCGCTCTGATTGTTTATCGATGCGATGAAATACATGTAACTTTTGATATGACTGCAAAATCCTAGTTGTGCTGGTTCCAACTGTAGCATTTCAATATTAAACGGCTCACAACCCGGCTGCGGACGGTGTCCCCCATTCGGATAGAAGTCAATGTGTCCTGTGGCTTCATCCAAGCCAAAATAATTACCATCCGTGTGCGTAATGTCAACGAAAACAGCATCATTCGCTGTTAATCTATCAGCAGGCACAAGATCAAAGTGTGGCCCTGCAGGATCTAAACCGGTAATACGTGCTGGCACTTGACCAGTTTGCTGCCGGATTGTTTTTCCAGCGTGTCCTGCTGCATGCGCTCCGAGCGAATGTCCGATAATATGAACCAGTGGCAAAATGTCTTCAGTTGAACTTTCTTTGAGTTTTATTATCAATTCACCGACGTATCCTCCTGAAACAATATAATTTATAGCTAAAAATGTTCTTTGTTTTAGTAGTGGAGTGTCTTACCAACAATTTTTGTGTTTTCAACAGCTTGTAGGTACGGTTTACTTGCCAATGTATTCCAGTCGACTTGAACAATTTGCACGTCAGCATTAATCAAATATTCCTGTGTCAATTGTTGGAAATATGCTTTTTCCGAGCTTTCTCCCCATCCGTGGATGAAAAACTTAATTGGTTTGGATGTTTCGATTATTTCCAGAAAGTTATCGCTTGTCAGCGGCTTCTTTTCGGTGGGATAGTCCCGACTGAAGTAAAACAACTGTGCTGTTGCATCGCCATACACTTTTAGGACTAAAATCCGTAAATTTTAGTAATAAAAGCTTGAAATTTCAAAATTATTACTCACAGTTAATGACAAAATAGAGAACGACGACTGAAAATTTAACAGGGAACATTTTTAAAGATATAAATTGTTTATAAACTGCATTTTATGTCTACAAGTTTATTTATAGGTTTTATTTATTAGAATTATTGAAATTATGTTATTTAAAATAATATATTGTGATTGATGCGCAAACGTGCTCAATTTAGTTATCAATTTCCTACAATTTAAAACAAATTGCATCGAATTATAGCGAATTATCTTCGAATAGAACTTACGCATGTTACATTTACGTAGATACATTTTATAAAAAGTGTTTTTCGTGCATAATTCTAATTTTTTTTTAAATATATTTTGTTCTAGTGTCAACAATGATTTTATCAATGGTAGTCGTGGAAATAATCCAGCGTTTGGTGATGCTTGTCGAAGAATACTTCAGTTTGCAATCTCGCTATGACAATAGCTACAAGAAACTTTTTCTATGCGTGTTTTCCAGCACCATTCCGACTGTCTTGTTTGTAACCGGCGCTCTTATTATTACGAGTTTCACCTGGAACAAACAAACCAAAGAAGCTTGGTTCTTCAACTTATTAACCATGATTATCTATGTGACAACCGAATATCTACAATTGGTAAGAGTTAATGCTTGTAAACAAGTGTAATACTTAATTAGTGTTCATGAAAATGCTAGAAAACAGCACCAATTTACAATTCAATCCAAATATCAAACCCGAAGACCATGGACGTGGGCGCGGGCATGGCAATAGGATTCTTCCACGGTTACCTTCGGATTCTTCTGCCGAATAATCCACAAAATGATCGTGGTCTGAAACATGTCATGGAAATTTATGAGGCGAAGGAACGTATCAAGTTCGCGAGGAGGGCACTCTATATTTTAGTGCCATTGTCGTTGCACTGTCCTTTTCGCCTCACAGACATGTCTGACATCATGGAGGAGTCATCTGTACGTGAAGCGCTTATTAGTATAGTCGATAAACGTACTTTAAAACATGTTTTCTAACAGTCTTTAGCTGCGATTGAAGAGGATCGTGCTGGAGTCAAAAATCGCAATTATAAAAATTCTGTGTACAAGATCAAATGTCAACGCCCCGATGGCAAAGAAGGACGGATCTACGTTGCCGCTGAGTATGCCTCGCCCTTAAAGACTTTCAAAGAAAGCGTTGAGTCCGACGGGAAGTTTGCCCTTCACTACCAACAACACAAAACGGATATTCTGTGGAAATTCTACACGACGATTGTGCAACTTGTTAAAGAAGATCCGCTAACGGATGGGTTGTGTGAATTCATTTATTACGCAGGTATTGTCTGAAATTTGAGGGTAAATGAAGTTTTTATCGATTGTATTTGCAGATTTTGATAAAAGGGGCGCTCGAGTTGATATTGGCAAAGTTCTGTTGAAACGGCTGCATGCTGATATTGCTGCCGATAAGAAGAAACAGGAAGAACAATGATGCAAGTACAAAGTAAACCCAAAGAGTGTTACATTTGATTTTATTTGCGACTGATTTACATCATTAAGTTGTTTTTTATGCTGTTTTGTCGATAAAATTAACGTTTTGTAGTTTTATCATAAGTTTTTGTTTGTTTAACATTTCTTGACCCCTCTTGAAAGTCCCTGGCATACGTAGAATCATAGATGGATGCGTGATAATGTTTATTTTTATTGAATGGTTAAAGTATTCTCTGTGGGAGACGTAGGTAGTTGTTCTGGATGTTTGGTAAGAGTGTAATTGTGAGCTCACTATTCACGCATGATAGGAGTGGATGTGAGAACGTTTCGAACTGGACATCGTAATTCGTCGGGTTTGCATCACGTGAGCGTGTATTTAGGGGGCGATTGCAGCGCATTATAAAGCCGGTCGACGTCCTTCAAACGACATAGCGTCAATTTGTTTCCACGCTCGCAGCTCGTCCCGACTTAACGCAGTAATAATGTAAGTAATAAAAGCACTCATTAACCCGAACGTATAGCAAACGCTTCATTAACATAAACCGCGAATATTTCACTCATTCATCGCTTGAATTGAATACAGCGATTGTTAATAATCGCATGAAACATGCGAGGGATTGGCTACCGGCTCGCCTGTCACGTTGACCTTCATTCGTCCTCTCGATTCCTGCTGCGCTGCAATCGGTTGAAATGAAATGGAACAAAAACCAAAATACCGGCAACGTGTTGCTTCGTGACAGGGCGTGTTTTTCTTATCATTTATCGTGAATATTTTGTTTGCAGCATGTCGAAGATTGGAATCAACGGTTTTGGCCGCATTGGTCGCCTTGTATTGAGAGCTGCGACTGAAAAGGGCGCGTCGGTAGTCGCTATCAATGATCCCTTCATTGGCCTGGATTACATGGTGTACCTCTTCAAGTTTGATTCTACTCATGGTAGATTCAAGGGACAGGTAGAGGCTAAGGATGGCAAACTTGTTGTCAATGGTAAAGCCATTGAAGTGTTCCAAGAGAGGGATCCTGCTGCCATTCCATGGGGCAAAGCTGGAGCTGAATATGTGGTGGAGAGCACTGGTGTGTTCACTACCATTGACAAAGCTTCTGCCCACTTGAAGGGTGGTGCCAAGAAGGTTATCATTTCGGCACCATCGGCTGACGCGCCCATGTACGTCTGCGGTGTTAATTTGGATGCCTATGATAAGAATAACCAAGTAAGTTGGGTGTAAATTTGTTTTTAAGTGTAAAAATTAAACAAAATTTTATTCTCAGGTCATTTCTAACGCGTCCTGCACAACCAACTGTCTTGCCCCGTTGGCCAAGGTAATTCACGATAATTTCGAGATTGTCGAGGGTTTGATGACAACTGTACATGCCACCACTGCCACTCAGAAGACCGTCGACGGTCCCTCAGGTAAACTGTGGCGTGACGGCCGTGGTGCCGCCCAGAACATCATCCCCGCCTCAACTGGCGCTGCCAAAGCCGTCGGCAAGGTAATTCCTTCATTGAACGGCAAGCTTACCGGCATGGCGTTCCGTGTACCTGTTGCGAACGTCTCCGTGGTGGATCTCACCGTCCGGCTGGGCAAGTCCGCCACCTATGATGAGATCAAGGCGAAGGTCAAAGAGGCTGCCCAAGGCCCCCTGAAGGGTATTCTTGGCTACACCGACGAGGAGGTCGTCTCCAGCGATTTCATCGGCGACACACACTCTTCTATCTTTGATGCCGCCGCCGGTATCCAGCTGAACGACAAATTTGTTAAGCTCATCTCGTGGTACGACAACGAATATGGCTATTCCAATCGCGTTGTCGACCTGATCACGTACATTCAGACCAAAGACTAGGCGACATTTTATATGCCCCGAAGTTTTAGTCCGTGGAAATTTTATATTTGTTTGTAAGCATCATATATTGTCTGTCAAGAGAAACAGCATCGAGTACTAATTATGTAAGACGCTGTATTATTTATGTACGAAACTTCCAAACTCCAAAACATTTTCCACTGAAACTCTATGTACAATTAACATATTTGCCTTAATTATGTAATGTTTTCGTGGTTCATGCATGTGATTTACTCGGGGAGAACATTTTATGCATGTTTGATCAAAATGCATGATAAATTATATAATTTAGTTGGTACTCACGCTTGTCACATTGGTTGCCTACTTGTTTTTTGTTCTATTCAACAGTTGGTAGTTCCGAAAAATCAAAAGTTGCGTGGCGTCTGTTGCGTTTGCTTCTTTTTGCTGTTTGTTCAACGCGGTGTGAAGTAAGTACGTTTTTCAAACTCCATTTGATTTAATTTTATTGTCAGAATATCGAATTAAGTACATTTTTCATATGGTTATAAGGTAGCAATAAGTTAATAAGAGAGCCATAACTTTTACAAATGATTTTCTATCACAGAAAATTGATATTCTACTCGTCAAGTGTCTAAGCAACATACATAAGTTTTCTTGCATGTTGCAAACGTACTTTATAGTTTTTTTTTTTTTAAATGTTTTTGGAAAAGGCATTGTTCGTTCTCACTGAAAATATTACTTTTTTTTAAGACGCTACGTAAAATGGCGCGCGCAAACTCGCCCGATTCTAGAGTAAAAGAAATAAATTTTCGCGGAAAACAAGTTTCTCTCCGTCGGCGGCTGCGCGTCGTCACATATAGACGAATTGAAAGATCTTACATGATGTAGTCAACATTCGTAAATGATTCAATATAATATAGATTAACATTAACGCAACTCTCTTCGCATACGTGTCTTACATGCGGTCCTTTCGGCAAATCGTTGGGCCGCGATTCGAAAGTACAAGTATAGAGGCACCGATGCATTATAAGTTAATGCGGGTATATCGTTGATTAGACTACGAGTATCGTTAGAAATGCGCACGCGAACTCGCGCCGATAAGTAAATCGAAGATAAACTCAAAGGAAGGACGTTAGATTTCTCTTTGTTTGTTTGGGTGGGCTGTTTATGTGTTCTTGTTGTTCTGAGTGTGGTTGGTCTATAGTCTAAACGATGTAGTTCTCTGCAGGTTTGGCCGGCAGCTCCAGATTAGGGCTGACGGTGTGCGTGTACCCGCCGTATGCCTTCACGACGATCTTTTCCTTCTTGGGCGCCATTGATTTGCTGTGATAGAAGAGCAGCACGTCGTAGAATACGACCGCTACGGCGAAACACTCCAGACACGCATCGACGCCTTTGTTGTCGATGGGGATCTTTGTAAAACGATCCATAAAGAGCAGTACGATGCCGAGACAGGCAAGGTTTGTGCAGGAGAAGATTATCCAGGCGTAGATCGCCTGCGCTTTCTTCGTTAGCAGACCGTAGAGCAGAACTATACAAGCGCACGAGAGTTGGAAACCGAAACCAGCCACGATCAAGCAGATTGATGAATACACTGCGATGGAAAGCAAAAAAATGTAAGTAGATATTTTTTTCCAAGAAAATTTTTGTTGAAAACCAATTTATATTGGTTAAAGAGGTTTTAGACAAAGATTTTTAATGTTTCTCAAAGTTCAATGCGGTTTTATCATGATTAATCGAACTTTTTTTTACTAAGAAAAGTTTTAAAGTTGATGCAACGATACAAATATTTCTTTAAAATTGTTTCACCGCCGAGCGGAAGAAAAATTGATATGAAAAGTTGGCACTTTTCTGATTCTTGGCATGCCTCCATTCAATTTGATAACAAATCACTCATTTCTGGTTGTTTTGTTTGTAAAACTTACTCGTTTCGCGATCGAGCGACTTATTCAACTTCTGAATATTCGCCTGGTTGTGCAACTTGTGTTCGATGAGCATCTGCTCCTCGTTGATGTCGGTGGTGAGCAGCGCCCATACATAGATGGTCTTCATCACGCCGAGGATCGCCAGTGTCGTCACCAATGCGATAGTGACCTAAAATCCGCGCGGCACATCAATAAAACCATAATAAACACCGTGAAACTCGGCCGGGTATTTGAACGGTTATAATACTCACGAAAAACACGATGGCAATCAGTATGCAGGTGATGCGCATCACCTCACTCTGTGACTTGGGCCGCGATGGCAGCTTCTCCAGCATCTTCTGTTTGCTCGGAGAGCGCTCCAGTATCGCATTAATAAACTTCCGCATCTTTTTCTTTTTGCTTCTTTTCGTATAACTTGAACAAATTATATGACTGTTTAATTGATGAGTTGTTTATCTCGTGTGACGCTTTCTTTTTCGCTAAGGGCGTCCGGACCGTTTCGAGCACGCGCGCGGCACGTCCCGATCCGTCCGCTTCGTGCGCCGCCGACGACGCAACTGCAGCATTGGCGGCGGCGGTTCGTCCAGGATTTTTGACTACGGGGGTGGCGGGGGTGGCGCGCAATGCTCGGTTCCGCGGCGCCTCGGCCTAGTTCGATATTCAGGCACGCCGCGCGCCGCCGGCACCTCTTTCGTTTTCCGCGGTGCGGAGCGGCTAATGAAAGGCCACGCAGAATACCATCGTAAATCTTTACCGCGCGCGGCGGCCTTGGCGTCGAACACCTAGTTTTCGCACACGTATATGCGAAATGCGAACCGCCCCGGGAATCAGATAAAGAAAATGAACATAACAATCGCGCGCGCAATCGCCCACGCTTTCTCGCGCTATTCTTAGCGTTTCACGAGCGCGTCAAACCTTCAAACACGATTTGTTTCAGGCGTATTTCACCTGAAACTTGAACTTTTGTCTTTTCATTCGACCAAAAGCGAAATTCTTCTAGCACCTCATCTTTAATTCGCTTTGTGGCACACAAACACGCTGTTAGATTCTCCATCATGAATAAACCCGCCACAAAACTTTCATGAGAACTCGTCACACTAATAAATAAATTCAGTTTCTACTCCCTGACACTACATAGCCACTCTTTTTGTCTTCGTGTGTTTGCTCCATCGTGATTAAATGCCATTTAGTAATGAGATATCGATTCGCCAACAATTCCACACACAAATTCGTTTAGCGTCGGAAATAGACAACAAACACGAATTAAACTTTTTAGTAGCATAATAAATTTCATCGTTAACAATCATCATCATTAGGCTTCGTGCAATTACATCGACAGGGAATTCTTCGAAAAGAAAGGGTTTGGAAGGCGGTATTAAGTGTAATTTGAATTGATTTTTCAATTATTATTGGTGAATGCGTGTCAGTGTTAGTGTTATCACTTGAAGTAGTGCTAAGGGACACAGGAATATCCCTTTCTAACGATTTTTTGTTTGTTTATGCAAAAGTATGACGTTTTTGCTAAAAGTTTTTTTTCTTTTTACTGCAAAATAGTTTTTGGGCATTTTTTTAAACGCTAGATGTCACTAACATGCAGTTACTTAGTGTTTTTTTTACATGATGAATGAGCGGAAATTCCAGAGAATCCACATTTTTTTCGATTATTGAGATAATTTTCTTCCTCAAACAAATTTTCTCGCCCAGTCATTTAACCAATGCTTAGTTCTGATCGTTTCATCGCTTCATTATTCATTACACACTGTTCGGAGGACGTTGATTTAACTGCTTAATTATTGATTGCATGAGTAAACAATCTTTGTTGCCGCGCGCGCCCCCGAGGTGCGGCGAAATGATGTGGAAAACGCAATCGTAAAACATAAAGCACGCCGATGGAATGGAATTAACCTTGCTGACCTGGTTCCACACGTCGTGTCATATCCAAGTATACGAGCAATAACTTGCATATTTTGCGATAATATTACTGCTATTACACTTTAATACGTTTTCATACACAGCGCTTGTTTAATATTCATAACTTTTTTTCATTCGAAAATTTTTTATTGAAAGCAAAGTTTTGATGCCAATACGAGATGGAAACAAGCGCATTATTTCTATCGATCCGGAAAATATGTTCTGTTGTTGCGTGTCATAACAAATTCATTACTGGCCGCAACAAATGCACGTAAAGTGCTCGAATTCGTTCTACTTCTCGACGGCCAATGCTTCGATTGCTTTGAGGCGCTCGAGGATTTGCAACCGGATCAATCCACGGTATTTTCCGCCTTCGCCGAGGGCCTCCATTTCTTGCAGCCAGTCTTCGCGTTCTTTTATTTCCGCTTTCACTGCAAACAGAGATTGTAAAAGAACATAACTATAAAAAAAAATCATTTGATGAATATTTACATTCTTCATATCGGTTTATTTCCTTAACGGGTTTGAGTTTCGAGTTCGATTTTTGCATCTTTTTGGTTTCCGGTTGAGCATCACGCATTTGCGCCATTTTATCAATCAGGGCTTGTTTCACCTTCTCGCGATCGGGTTTCGGCGGTCCAGGTCGATACACTTCCCTTTCATACGCACCACTTTCACGAATCTTATCCAGCGATCTGCGTTTTGAGCTTCCGGGCCGAATAAGCACTTTGTATTTCTCGTGACGAATTTGTGACGGTGTCGGACGGCTAATGGCTGGCAATGGCTCATTGTTCCGCAAGGAATATTTCAATTTATTGCGTTGTACTATATTCATTCTGCTTTCGTTAATTAAAGCTGTTTTGTTTGGCAAAACATTAAATTAGTTATGTATAATTCAGTACATATGTGTCTGTGACTTACTCTGCATGAATTCTCTTGTTTCCGGCGTATATTTTACGCGTGCATTATTGAATATCCCACCTTTGGGCACGTTCTTGCTGGGCCACTCCATAACACCAAGTAAAACACGATATAAACCTGTAAAATAAACAATTTTTTGCCTTTCTCAAAGAGGTGCACCTCTGCGTGATTTGTGACTTGTTTGTTTTCGGGAAATGTCAGTGTCAAGTTGAGGCGTAGCCATGACAACCAAAAAGTGTTTTTTTTTAGTAGCGTTAGCGTTTATTGATTCGTTTTAATCATCAAATCGATACAAAAATATTCCTTATATAAATGCAACACAATCACCACGTATACATAAATCATTTATTATTTATCACAATGTTACACATACGATAATCATATTACGTTTTTGACCCATGAGTTAAATTCACCAAAGTTACTTGTAAATCGAAGTGACCTAAAGCAATGATTAGCTGCTTTCTACCGTCAGTTATGTATTGTATCACCATAATGTGTGCTTGCACGTGTGAGTGACTTAAAAATAGTTTCTATAGAATATTTCCGTGCGCCTCCTCCTACCATTCGCCCTCTTTGTTCGCCGATATCTGTTGTTGGTCGTCAAGCGTTTCAATTAAACCACGACGAGAACGTGCCTTTCTGATAGTGATAAGCCGTCCACAGGCCCAGTGCAAATGCGATCAATTGCGAGAGGAATGGAAATCCATACCCGGTTCGTTTGGAGACGAGAAAATCAAGCAGTTTCCTCTTCGTTTCGCTGTACGGTGGATAACGACTGGATGCAAGGGCTTCACCGATCTTGTTGAATGACTTGTAGAGACAGGGTTTCTTATGCGTGAAAGTGTCAAGTGTGTACTTCCCATGATAGGAACCCATTCCACTGCCGCCGACACCGCCGAATGGAAAACCGTCCACGGTGAATTGCAGCATAGTGTCATTGACAGACACACCGCCAGCACTGGTGCGATTGAGAAACTCCCAGATTTGCGCGTCGTTTGAAGAGAACAGGTACATTGCCAGGGGTTTATCGCCGGAGTTTATATAATTGATCGCTTCTTGGTGGTTTGCCACTCTCATGATAGGCAACAGCGGGCCGAAAATCTCCTCCTGCATCACAGGATCGTTTGGTGATACACCTGCGAGTATTGTAGGTGCAATGTACAGCTCCTGGCTGTCCATTACACCACCAAGCACGGGTTTACTGGTCTGCACCAGGTGTGCCAAACGCTTGAACTGGCGCTCGTTGATGATCCGGCCGAGATCCGCGGATTGCTTGTGGTCTTTACCGTAGAAAGTCTCTAAAATACCAGGCGCAGCAGCGAGGATTTTCTTTTCCACCGCTTCAGTGCACATGATGTAATCGGGCGCGATGCAAGTCTGGCCGACGTTGACAAACTTCCCCCAGAGAATTCGCTTCATCGCAATGTTGATATCCGCGGATTCGTCAATATAGACGGGGCTCTTACCACCGAGTTCGAGAGTAACCGGCGTCAAATATTTGTTCGCTGCTTTATGTACGATCTGTCCGACTGTGCCGCTGCCGGTGTAGAAAATATAATCGAATTTCTCAGCGAGCAGTTTGGTAGTCTCGGGGATGCCTCCGCATACGACTTTGAAACACTCCTGATCCAGATACTTTGGCACTGTCTTCTGTAAAAAGTCGGCTGTGGCGACGGCATTCTCTGAAGGTTTCATGATGACGCAATTGCCCGCAGCCATGGCTCCTACCACAGGCAGAAGCAGTAACTGAAGTGGATAGTTCCAGGCTCCTATGACTAGCACTACACCAAAAGGTTCTTTCAGTATGTACAGACTATCAAGCCAGTTGGCAAAGGCTTTTGATGGCCTTTCAGGTTTGGAATATGATTCAAGGTTGGCAATGTAATCAACCAGGTCGTTTTTGATCATTTTGATTTCCATGAGGAGTGTTTCATATCTGCCTTTGTTCAGATCCTTCTTGAGAGCCACTAGAATCTCATCAGTGTTTTCCTCCAGCATTCTGAGGACATTTTTCAGCTGTTGGCGGCGATAGGCGATTGGTCGGGTCTTGCCTGACATGAAGGCAGCCCTGGTTGACTCCACAATTGCATTCATGGTGCTCATTTTACGAATTACTGCTGCAATAAGTAATATAATATTAAGAAAACATCATAAAGATGCACTTAGGTTATTGTGCAATGAAAACGACAGTCACAACATATTTATATGAGTAAATTAACAAGTGAAGGAAGTGTAGAGAGTCAATTATCATACTGTTTTCTTGATTCGGACGTCGAAATTGAAGCAATTTTCAACCTGTTTTGCACTAATTCCAGCACGTCAGTGTGAAAACAATGTGGCCACGAACTAGAACACGTCGACCTTCCACTATATAATTCGTAAAGGATGGCACAGCGGCGCTGAATTCTATTGCAATGACGACTTACAGTCAAGGCGACGTACAGCTCACGATACCAACGCGACAATTCTACTCGACTACCGAAACACACTAAAAGCAAAAGTAAAACTCGAACCTCGACCCGCTACTCGAGTTGTTACTTGCCCATTCCGCGCTCCTCTCAAGCCCGGCTGTCGATCATGTTCCACCCGAACCGTGCTATAAAAAGCTGAAAGCGCTTTTGTATCGCATCGAACAGACGATACGATAAAAATTACATCGAATCGACTAATGTCTCGCCTACAGACATATAAAAAAAAACAAAGTGCAGTAACAGGTTGTCACAGACACGATTTATGTGTACATATGCATAGCTAGATATTTGTTTATTTGCGAAAGTACACAGCAGAAAGCATAAAGTAGCAATCAAACATTACAAATGCAGTTTCACTCGCCGTGAATCAATAGATGAGTAAAACTCGTAATCGTAACCATAACTAGTAGCAATTTCGTGCCATAATATTAACTATGCAAATCGAAATAATCAATATGCACAATGAATATTTAATTTTTATTTCTCGCAATTCCGCTCATCATCATAGGGTTATCAAAAGATATTTTTTTTTAATTTTACGATTGCATTTATTTTACTTCGTTAAAAAAATTGTTTACTCGTTTCGCAACCTGGAGATAAGTATATAAATAGATTATTATTTTATTCCTAATGAGTTTGCAAGTCGTTGCGTGCAGCCAATAAACCGCAAATGGCAAATTTAATGAAGTTTCCATACGGGAACAAAAGATGCGCGCGTTATGCGCGAGAGCTGCTCAAAATATTGAATAGTAATGCCACATAAGAGATTACGCAGCGTGATTGCATAACGAACAACTTCAACGCGATGCGGAAGTCTTACTAATAGTGTGTCAGGTGTTCAAGTGAAATCTAAAGAGTGAATTAAAAACATCCAGCGTCCGACATAGTAAAAATTAGTACGACATTCGAGTGTATCGTAGGCAACCAGGCATACAAGGGCAAAGCGACGCGATGTTTTGACATTTCAACAGACTCCAAATCAGTTCAACTCGGTAGCTCCTTACCGATTTTTGTTCCAAATTAAATTGCGAAGTGCATGCGAGGCAATCAAAATGAAATTGTTCGTGAAAGTTATTCGTGGTAACGGCTGTCTCGTGGAGGTCACAGAACAGACAACGATTCTTGAAATCAAACAAAAAATTGAAGTGGAGCTGAAGGTGCCAGTGGCACAGCAGACACTCGTTTATCTTGGAAAAACCCTTCTCGACGATAACGTGGTCTCCTTCTACAACAAAATTCAAGATGGAGCTAAAATACATCTGGTGATCAAGAAGCCTGAGTCGCTCAACGTTGTGCTGGAACGTTTCCTGCGGAAATTCTACAATGATGAGCAATCCAGGCAAATACTGGATGAATTCATGACAGACTTTTATCAAAAAGTGAAGAGTCTTAGCTTGGATGATCTGGAGCACATTGCCACCAACTACCTCAATGAAGATCCTCCAAAATAGACAGACTAAATTCTAGCTTCAATTAATGTTGATATATTAATAGTGCTTTTACATATTAATTTGTATATGATAAATCCTAAGTAATTTGTACACTGTGTTTATTTATACAATACTAGACACTAGGCTGTAGACAAGCCTTTGAAGTGCCTACCAAGGAGGAATATTTCAGCACTGTCACTTCTACTGGCCTGTGGTTTTACAACTTTAACACTTTCGTAAAATCTGCACATGTCCTGTTCTAATTTTTTTGCTTCTGCACATTGCCACAGTTTAATCAAAAGACATGCATCTAGCTCACTGACTGTCACTGCAAATTTCAGCACTGAATATCCTAAAGTGACTATGTTTTCACCATCCATTGACTTGATCCCTGTTGCATTGGGTGCCATATCTGATAGGACAACATGCACCTTCTTATCATCCAATAATTCTTGTAGTTTGGCATGTGCAGTGGTGAAATCTTGATTGCCAAGAATATGCACACCTTCAATTGGATACAGTTGCAATTTATCAATGGCTATAATAGTGCTATTTGGCCCTGAATATTTCTTTGCAACTTGAGACCAAGAACCTGGTGCTGCGCCACAATCTATAATGACTTGTTCCTTGTCTGGTTGGAGGATTTTGAACCTTTCGTCTATTTCCAAGAGTTTAAAAGCACTACGACATCTAAAATATTACTTAAAAGTGAAATAAAACAGTTTTTGTGCTGAAATTTATGCTATAATCTACCGGTAATTGAAAACATCTGCTTTTTGTACATATGGATCATTCAGTTGGCGTTGTATCCATTCCTGCGAGCTCTTCTTTTTGCCTTTGAGATTTGTTGCCTGTACTTTTCGCAGGTTCGGCAGTGTCGTTGATAGAAATCGTTTGCAAATTCGTTGCATCTTGGTGCATGTTTTGTATACAACCAAATATCTAACCTGTAAATATTTTCTTGTTACAAATATCAGCAACCAATTTATTTGGATTATTTGAACATATATTAAGTAAAAAATAATTTTATATAAATGTATTATTTTTGTATGTTGTAAGCAGTATAAAAACAAAATTTTCGTGTGACATTTATTTTTAGATGGTTGTATTGCGTGGTTGCCTACAGTGGATGCTAGTTTTCGATATTTTTAATCAGATGCCGAAGATAAAAGGTTTTTGATGTTTAGTACAAAAAGTGAGTCGTTGCAGTCATCACCCCATTCTCCCAGCAAGGCGTAAAAAGTGAGTTTTTAAGAACTAATTATTAAAATAAATTGTTTTAATTGTTTATGTGCTATCAAATGCGTACAAAATTCATATATTGAATATTATTGTAAAACGTGTAAAACACAATTTTTTGATTGCAAGAACACGCGACATGCGTATTTTGGCTGCGTCTTCTTATCTCTTGTTTTGGTAAATACGACAGGTTTTTCTATTGACACAACGTACATATTGCAACATTCCATAACTAAAACATTTTTGTTTTTTCATGGATTTATACATCTTCGGCTGTTTCTCAAATATATTGCGTCTAGTTGTTACGCAACACGAATACTTCTACGCACAGCCCTAAAAATACAACATTTATGCAAGAAGGGATCAAAGTTGTCGAATAACGAACGCAACACTTGTTTGTTTTCATGCTATTTTATTTAGTTCATTATATTTTCGTTCGATATCAATTTGTTTACAACTCGTATTGGCAAGACGCTCGCATTGAACCAATACACAGACACACATCGCATCGAAATGATACATCGCGAAAGATATAAACATCAACATTCATAATTCCTAAGAAACCAAATGGTATATTCTTAAGTTCATAAACGATTACAAATACTAATTAACCAACTGAAGATGATCGCGCGCGCCGGCGATCGCAATAATATTGCAATAATAATACAATATAAACTCTGTTACTATTCTATTTTGTACACGAATGACAATCATAATACCTACGATTCATAACAATAATAAAGTAAACAATCAGCAATAATAATATTCGTGTTCGCGGTATGTATCAGACTGATTTCTGCAGCTTTGTTGAAAAATTTTCATGGTTTATTAAATCGTATTAATACATGTGATTGGTTAGTAATATTAATTTCAGTAGAAGTATAGATACAATACATACATTTTACATATACATATATTACATACGCGCTATTTATTAGGCAGATAACATTTAATTGTAGACTCGTTAATTAATAATACTTAGTTTTGTGTTGCGTGTGTTCGATAATTGTCGAATAGTTTTTATCGAATGTCAGCGCCAACACGATAGAAAAATAAAACTGAAAATATTAAAATTTATCTAATGAAATTTAATTAAAGCAATCAGTGAGGGTTGAAATGTGTAAGTGGTACAGTAGTGTTTGGCGCGACAGTTTGGATAGTGATGCATATAAAAACAATTCAACAAGTCGGCTACGATTACGAATGGATACACATGAATTAGTTTATATTTGGTTACAGTTGCTACGTATTTTATGATGTAGGCGTACAAATTCGAGCAGATATCGCCGATTTTGACGCATAAATAAATAAAATTTACGTTAAACTTCGGTAAGAAACGATTGTGCGCACCATTCAGCAAGAATTCGATTCAGGGTGTATTTGCCTGTATTTGTAAGAACGTCCCTGAAATGACCAGCACATACTCCATTCACACAATAATCACGCATACACATTGAGCACGTTCGCGCACACAATCACCAGGACTCAATATCTCCACCTGACTCCAGTCCATTCACAATACCTGACGCATTCCGATATGTTCAAATCAATACCGACGTAGTTTTCATAGTATAATATAACCTATCTGCAACGCCAGAGGGTAATTAATAATCACAAAGTAATAAATAATATGTACAAAAGTAGGCTCGGAGGATGGCGCGTTGGCGCTATCGGCGCGCACGGCGCTGGTCCTCGAGGAATCGCGGGAAGAGCCATCGATCTCGATTGCGGTGGTTGGTGTAGAGCGCATCTTCACTGCTCGTAGGCGCGCTCGTCTTGGTCACGAAGCGGCGATTCACTTGTTTCTTCATGTCCTGCAGGAAGTCCTGGAAGAGCGCCTCGTCAAACGCGGGCCGGTCTGGGAACCGTATATTATTGGCGTGCGTTGTGGTCGGCAGCGTCTGGGAATCTTCGCTTTCCGAAAGTGTGGTACTTTCGCCCGACGCGGAATCAGGAAGTTTGAAAAATATGGCTTGTGGCTCCTGAGATTCGGCTAGGAGCTCGTCCTGCCCTTTATCGAGTATCGTTGTCATGTCTGTCGGTTCAGTTGTAATGGTAGTGGGATCATCATAGATGGTGGTCGGTATTGTACTCGTTGGTAGGTTGATTTCGTCCGGTCTTGTCTCGCGGATGGTCGTCCTTGTCGTCGTGGTCAACACCGGCGACGTCGTCGTTTCGTTCGTTTGCACTCGGGTGAGATTTTGATTTTGTTGGCTGCCGGATGCGTCGGAATCATCACGAATGTTAATATTCGTAATAATTAAAGGTGCGTCGAGTGGACTTGTCTTCTTGTCAACGTGTTTCATTGTATCCTCCAGTTTCATAGTATCTTCAAAGTTGCCGTTGGTAGGCGCGACAATAATTGAAATTTTGTCCTTTTCGGTATCCATGCCTAATGGTATGTTGAACTGGAATGGACCTGGCGTTGGCAAAGCTTCATCACCGATCTCCCCGCCTTCGTCATCGTAATCTTCGTAATTACCGAAGTTTTGGTTTAATAATTCAAGCACGAATTGTTCGTGTGCGCTGGTGTCTAGTTTGACCACTTTGACGCATCTGCCATTCGCGTCTAGGGTGTACCCAGTGCTGCAGCTTTGAGCGCCGAACGCGGGCGATATGAAGATTGATTTCGGGGTGATTTTTCTTCGCGGCGACGAGTCGCTTTGCTGCTCCTCGAGCAGCACCCATGCAAATTCTGTCGAGCGTTCGTTGAGCGGTCGTGCAGGCGCGGATTGCACGCAGAAGAACGACGTCAGCAGGAGGAACGTCGATGTCAGATTGCCCAAATACGAGATTTTCATTTTGTGAGTTTAATAATGCCACAATCTTCAATTGAATCCACTGAGGTTGTTTTTAGTTTTACCAGTGCGTTGTTGTTTCGGAAATCTGCAACATAAGAAGAAAATTGTTTGTTATATGCATCTATAAAGTTGATTGGGCATAAATCAAAAGCCTCAAATGTTACAATTTCAATTTTATGATTGTAGTATGTTATTAATTTGCATATTTATTAGTGCGGTAGTGAAAGGACCCACCGAACAACATGCTGCTCTCCAAGCAGGAACCTTTCATCGCACACTATATAATATCCATCGCGTCATTAGTATTAAAGAGTCGTAAAGTTATCTCAATCGCAACGATTCAAAGCGCAATAAACACCAAATTATGTGAAAATTATGTGTCAATCCTTCAAAATATCACCGTTAACAAGCGAAACAATATTTTCGTCTAAAATTGCCAGCTCGTAATCACTTGCTTTACGATAATAATAGCTGTTATCTAAGATAGCATCTTGGATACGATCGATAGCAGTGACAAACCGCCTCAACCTTTCGCCAATAAGTCGTATCGTTTCGCGTGTTTGTTTGTCGACATGTTTTCGGTCTAGGACGACGGCATACGACTGAAATCATCGCGTAGTCTTTTATTGCCCTCGATTTCGTGGCGTTACCGTATGATCATCGGACGCGTTTTGGACAAACGCCAACAGTGCATTCGATGTTTGTTTCGATTTTGCCGCCGACCGCTGATCGGCCCGACCATCGCACGCACGATAAATATTAATACGAAGGCGACGTTTCGAATGCAATGATAGCGTCGACACCGCCTCCTGTACCGTTGGAGCGAACCGTTCCCCTCAAAAATGCGAAATTTACATGCACAAAATGCTTAGTAGTTGGTATTAGAAGCGTATAATTTAATGCTTCGATTGTGGAGACAACTGCGGGTTGGCTAAACTTAATATTTACCGCGAGTACGTCGTTGTTGGTCGATGGTTTCGTTTTGGTTTCGTGCTCGCCGATCCGGCGTTCCAGTGACCTTTTATTATTATTTGATTTGTGCTTTTCGCGAAGGGAAAAGAAGTGCGAATGCGCTCGCCAGCTTGCATTTCACTGTAGGTCGCTTTCAACAAGCACCAGCTACAAACAATCACGACCAACAACAGAGAGTTGTAGCTTTGCATTTCGTCCATATTTAGACGAGATATTTGTAAAAATTGTACACTTTCCAATTTGGTACCCGCTGCGTTGAAAAGTTTATAGAAAATGAACTCGGATTGAAAGTCGCGTAATGACTTAATCGCATTGACGTGTTGTATTTATTGTCAATCATAGGAAATTATTTCATAATCGCCGAGAAAAGGTGCAATTAATAACAATGTCTTTGTAAATAGCAGAGAATTGTTGCTGTTTGGTAAGTGAGCTAACGGTTTGGCAATTAAATTTGTGAAATAAATGAAGCGGAATTACCGACAGTCGCTTAACTTTTAACTATCACTAAACGCCGAGTTTACTTAAATTTCAATGCTGGTTGTTAAATTTTGATGGCTGTAAACTGCGGAAAAGTTTTAGTACCAAAATAGTGCATCAAACACTCCACATGCAAGAAACAATACTTTTATGGCGCCTTCCTTTAGCTGTAGTCAAAACAATCTATAAATAATAAGTGTAAATCGGGCCTAGACTAAATGCATAATTGGAAACCTACTTTTCTTCCAGCACAATCACAATTACAATCCAATCCGAATGAAAGCACGCCGAGTTCGGAGTATTATAAAATATTAATTGCACGTTGGGTTCTTTCTAGTTCATCTCGCGTAATGCAAAAAACGCGCTCATAATTTCGAGCGTTCATAATTATGTCGCCGTCAATTAGTCTTACGCGCATGTTGCGCGTTCATTCATCACCGGCGAAGTGCGAGTTGAACGGTTCCAGGCGCAGCCTTAATCCTATCGGCGTTTAATTGTTGCGGAAACAATTACTCAATAAGCGATGTACGGCTGTGAGCAATGTGCGATGTGCTCTTTCGCGATGCCGGCCGAGCGAGTTGTTTGGTCAAACTCGATCTTCAAAAGTTGGTCATCCGACGACCTAAACGATCATCTGCTCGGACGTCTCGATCGCGCGTTACGCGGCGGAACTGAACCGCGATCGAGCGCTAAATACATCGTGCCATCGTCATCAGCAAGCTGCTGAATCTTGCCAAGGTCGGGTTGTATAAGACATCGTGCTGGATGGATGACGCTCGGACGTGCGCAACCCAAATTCGGTCGGAAGATTACTTTGATTTTCGGTTTTTCGTGCGATTCTCAACGCGACTAGACTCAATTCGCCTCAAACTTGTGACCTATAAGAAGTGTTGCAATTTTCGGAACGTGGTCTTATCGCAGCTCGTTGTGCAATTGAATCGAACCGACAATTAAACAATTACTCGCAGTCGAAACTCGGCAAACAATACAAATAATAAAATGAAAAAAAAAATTGCATTACGATGCAAATATGCTGCAAACAATGCGCATAATTCGCATTTATAATTGTAACTTATATAACACCCACTGAAACAATGCCAAAAAAAAAACAATCATAATAAATTTAAATTACGCATTGGATATTACTTATGCGCTTGCGGTTTGAGAGAAAAAGTAACAACGCGAGCATTCTCTCAAAAAGCACACTTTACACGGTTGATTGTGAATTTCGGTCCGTCTGAACCTTGATCCATATGAAGGTTTCACGTGTCATTCTCATTGCGAATTGAATTTTGTTCGTGCTCTTGCGAAAAAGGGGATTTATCTCTCGTTAAGGCGCATAATTTCCCATGTGTAATGTGAACGCGCCGATAATGAATTCATGCATTTCTAAAAAGGCAGCGAGTGCGCGAAAATAGATAAAAATAGACGCATTATCGATGAAAAACGCTCGCGAACGTTATGTGAAAATCTTTTTTCCCACGTCTGGCGGTGATCCGGGGATTTGAGCGCATTGTTGCGCGTTACGCACGGCGCAAAAATCCGCAGATGAATGAAACGATCAAATACGCGATGCAATGTTCAATTTTAATCCACTGGCGTTGGCGCTTTGTGCCCGCTAACAATGCGCTAAGTGAATATTTTTTTCTTAGGATAGCCATGAGATAACAGAATTCCACGAACTAATCCGAGTAATCGGGTCTAGACAATACTTTAGTCCTGATTAATGTTTCCTCTTTCTTCATACGTCGCGCAGCAGATAAGTTTCGTAAACGCTGGAAACTTTTTTTGTATTTTATTCTTTTTATTTTTATTGTTCGATGGCGACTCGCGCGTGTTGTAACGAAATGCTGTGCGACTAATTGTTCGCCTGGCCATAGCAGGTCGGTCTACTAATCAGTGCGATTTAATGAGAAAACGTGTATGTGCGGATAATGTAATGAAATCGAACTAATTGAAATAGAGAATAGAGAACGATCGCCAAGGTGAGTCGTTGAGTCGCCGCCGTCCACCGCGAATCAGAAACACGGCGTCGCGCGGTATCACTCCGGATTTGGCGCGGCGATTAAAAGTCAATCAGCATTCACTTTACTTTTCTAATGAAATTTGCGCGCGCGCGAGCAAAACGCGGTGGTCATTGTGATATGTAACAATTCGCTGCTCGGCGGGTCTAAAGTGCACTTGTTTTCTTGTCGCATGGACATTGCCAAAAAGTCGCAATAAATTTGCGCTGGTGGCAGGAGGCGCCAATTACGCTCGTGTGTCGCGCGCTTTGATTACACAAAACACAAACTAAAACGGTTTCGCCTCTGCATCGTCTAGCAGCGCGCGGTTGGGTCCATTGGTATGGCAAAACGAAGCGAAACGAATGGTTGAATCGAGGTTAGGTATTTAGATCGATACTAAATGACTTAATTACCGCGCCAGTGTCTTTGAACGTGTTTATCACATATTTCTCGAAGATTAGTCCAGATCGGATACATATCGTACTTACGATCACGGCGAGATGCTCCGCGATGCTGCACGCACATAAAGGAAATTTCTCAATTTCGTAACGCGTCTCGTAATCCTTTAATCTTTCTTCGGCGGCAAGGGAAACCGAAAGAAAGTGCCCGGATGCATTCGCTTCGTCAGCGTTTCTCTGGTCATTCGGACAGCGGCGTTACATCTGCATAATAGACGGCCGAGAAGAGTCGGCCTTTATTGTCGCGACACCACATCGAAATCTCTTTTATGCGCGGCGTTATTTCACTCGCTGTCGATCGCCGATGCGTTGCATAACAGCATGACGGAACTATATGCCGGCCGCATCTAGGCCTCTATGAATTGTCTAATGATGATAAAGCGATCGTTTTATCGCCGGCGAGTGGCGCATTGTCGAAAGTGAGCCTGAAAGGCATCGAAAGTAATCTCCACAGATCACAGGTGTATAATATAGGTCTGTGTGACATACGGAACATTTACGATTTACATAATCCCGAACGCGAGGACGAGGATTACCTGCACGCTGGCATTTTTTTAAGTCCCCGAAAAATGACACGCGATGACGTTGATGAGTGGTGCGAACATCCTGGATGGTGTAATGTTGCGAGTTATAGGTTTCTATTCGTCGCACATCACGTTTGTTTGAACTTTCTTCTTTGGACATCGCATGCAAATCCGGGTGGGAACACACACGACGCAATCTTTCTCCAATGATGAAAATTGCGATTGGTAATTTAATTTCAGGCATGAATTATGAAGAGTCGCGTGCGTAAATCAAACGTGATCGTGCTAAATAGCGCCGCGTGCAATGTGTGTGCGAATCAGTGTCACATCGATTCGCATGTCTCATTATTTGCGCGCCGGGATATTGTTCGCGAGGTTGCGCGACGAAGACATCGCGGCGCGACTTCGTAACCGCGCTCGAAACTTGTCTCGGCCGCCGCCAGGCACACCAAGCACCAGTGTGCGCGTGTAGAAAGATACAAATATAATTAGTGCGTTGCGACACTATGGAACGCGGATCTCGGGCGTCCCGACATCAGCCGCGCACCTTTAACAACACTCGAATAACTCGACAGCGCTGACTTTACAATGTAACTCATAATAATCGACAAGGATCTGAGCCAGAGCCACGGACGGCTCCTGAAGCGTGTTGGGTATTAATATATCGACGCACGCACCGCACGCGAAAATTGCCGCTATCAGGAATCATTCGAATGAAACATGATGAGCGTACGTTTGATACGAAGAGATTGTAGTGATTTGTCGAGGCCGTTTTGGTTTCGGTCGCGATGACCATGCGTGAGCGCGCGCGCACGGGTCAGTTCCAGCCGGACCTTGAGTGAAAGCGCATTAAACCCGGGCCGAAATGAAAAGAAATGTTATGCGCGCCTGCCGAGCCATTAAGTCGCTCGTAAATCCGCTTGTTGATGGTAGTAGTTCCGAAAATAAAATAATTTCAATCATAAAAATGTTTACTAATATTACGAGCAACGTTATGATGAGCATTATGTCTTAGAAAATTACAACATTTCATGTTGGACGCCGTTCTTGAGTCTAATCGCAAGTATTTTCCAAAGAAACAAGTCGAAAAAAGCGCCGCGCAATGCGTTGGCTGTTAGATGTATGTTTTCATTCGCGTTGATCGGTGGTTCGCAAGTTGCAATTTATTAATAAATGCATAAATTAGTGAGCGTGCGTGCGTGGAATGCGTGCCCCGGCGTACGACCAACAAAAATATATATATTTCACTTTCCCTGTGGCGTCGGCCTGAGTGCATCCGCGTTGGTCTCTTCGTTTTGTCTCTTGGTCACACTGACAGTGTGAGTGTTTCGTTTGTTGTCGCGACTTTCCTTATAATGCGCGACTTTTACGCGTTGCGCCGCATTAATCTCGCCCGGCGCTACCGGCCTGCAAGCGATGCAGTCAGTGTGTGCGCGGACGAAAAAGCGGACGGCATTCCGACAGGTCGTAGGTGTCGCAATGCCATTCCGCGTCCGCGTTCGGCCCGCCTAACGCGATATAAATTCATAATGACGCCCGTTTTTTTTTTTATTACTTTCTTTTCCTTCGCCTGCTTCTTGGACTAGAATCCGCACGCGTGCATCTTCATCATCTTCACAAACCTCTCGCGACACGCGATGCTGAATACCTCCATCGAGTTCCTTCAGATTCCGCCTCGGTGTGGAATTTTCGCGTAAGACGCAGAGTAGAAAAACTCGCGGAAAAACAAACAATGCACAGATAACAAACAATAAGCACAATAAAATGTTGTTTTTTTGATTCGTAACGTTACGCACTCGAGTGACTCCGTTATGTGACTTAAGTTAACTCAGCTTTGCTTTACTTTTGTTTCCCGCTTGGTGCGCTACAGTTACTCCGAATTAGTGGCGTTTGAAACAAAAAAAAAGTCCAACCAAAGAGCGCACGAGGCACCTTAACTCTTCACCTCTACCTTGGAATTGCGGCGAAATTTGGCTTACTGGCTCAATGCCTCTTGGTGTGGCTATTAATTTTTTTCGTTAGGAAAGCCCATACCTCTTTTTATTTCAACAATCGCATAATTATTTCATTATACTCATCTCCCCGACGTCAATCTAAAGATCAATGTTGCGCGGTAATTTTACTCGTAATAATGTTGAAAGTTGAAGGTTGAATACATGCTGCTAGTCATGTAGTAAGACAATAAAATATAAAATTAGAAAACATTACTATCCGAATGTTTGGATTGATTACATCTTCAAATATTAGATTCGTCGGGCGGTCGCTAAGTCAGCGCGTAAATAGCTAAAATATTCAAACAAAAAGTAAAAGTGATCGGCGCCACCGCGATTATTAAGTCGAACTCGTTGTCTAAACAAACAAGAAACGTGTCGGCGTCCAAACTCCTAATTAAAAACGAAGATATTCGAGGCGTAGTGGCGCGTGTAGAGCGACAAACGACTCTACGGCGAGTGACCAGGACGTCATGTCAAGCCGAAGCGTTTTGCGGCGCTAATTGTTATTTTATATGCTCATTCACGCGACGCAGCGACTAGGTGAATGAATGAACAATGGCGACGGAAGACAATGCGAGCGGACGCGAGTTGTACGCGTTTCGCACGAAAACAGACGCGATGTGATCGAACGGTATCCCAGGTGGTGGTAAACGCTGACCGTTCGTGGACGAGTAATTCACGAAACAAACGAAATTAAACACAAACACACACATACAAAACACAAAAAGCCGATGGACTTGAACGCATTCTCTGCAGTTGCGCGCCGCGCGTATGTGCAAAAGTACATTGTCCGCGGCTGGCGTGGTTGCAACACCATTGTTCGCACAACAAAAGATTTGTCTCAATCGCAGGATTCGTCATAATCCTGTAGGCTGGATGCCTTGCAACGGTAACCACGAATTCGTGGACTCATCACGCGGTAACACGTTAAATAACGCGATGCAATTTGTAATATACTTACCGATTGTTTAGAATAATCAATTTTCTTCGTTGTAAGACTTGGTGCAAACAACAACAACAACAGTATTAACAGTACTTCTTGTGTGAATTACTTTATTTGACTTGATTTCATGCATGAATTTACGACTTTTCAACTATAGACATTTTATTGGTAAGTTAGCATGCGTTGAAAAGTGTTGAAATCGTCGTTTTCGTTGCTTCTGCTCGACGAAATTCTTCATTGTCAGTCTCTGTGATGGTAATATCTTCTCGTTCCACCTTGGAAGACACTACAACTACAATGAAAACAATAGTAGTGGTTAGTGTATTGCTTTGCGCGATGTTTGCAATTTTTATTTATGGTTCTCGTTGTATGATTTGGTGTCACGCATCGCGATTATTGCGATCGGGAAGCAGTGACCACCCCAGGGTCATTACCACTGGTTATTTAACTGACAGCCGGATAAACGGCACGAAAATGAGCGCACGCAGCGGTGATTCGCGACGTCTCGCAACGTGTTCAGCAGTGATTCGCTTTTTTCTTCAGCGGCGAAATAAAAAATTCCAACACGAAGCATCGAAAAAACCAGCGAGGTTGAAATCGCTGCGGATTCGTACGAAAGCGAATTTCATATACAATACCATGTGGAATAACACACAAATACGCCGGAAATAATAGAAATACCTGCCGACCTGCCGCACTGACTCGAAACGAAAGCAAAAGTTCGTATTGAGTGGTAAATGGTCATAGGCAAGGTCAATAAATACCAGAGTGGACGTGAGGACGAATTTGACCAAATACCTATAAAGGGCTCGTCGATGCACATCGCTTGCTAATGAAGTCGATTGTCCTCTATCCTCTGTCCTCATTACTTCCGGGCTTTTCGACATTGGTTGTCTAAACAACACGAATTTCGCGCGACATCAACATCCGCGTCATTATCAGAAATGCTGTCAACATCTGCCAATCATGGCCGAACCGCACCATCATCACTTCGGTAGCTGGTCGCTTGTCACCCTAATCGTTTCTGCAAACGTTTATCACTCGCCGGATTGGGCCTTTTTTTCATGTCGCGTGCGTTCGTATCTCGCCGCATCTATTTATAAAGATAATCGCCGGAGCACTTCTTGTAGCGCGCCCGTACGCGAGGGTTAACGTTCTTTCATAACAGTAATTTGCCACTAATGCATTCGTCGCTGGTGTGCGCAGCGGCGTCGTACGTACATAACGCACACTTCGACACACACCGAGCGCCGACCAGAGCGCGAAGAGAGTAATACAGAAGCAATTCGAATTAACGCGAAGAGACTACCAGAGAGTAGTAGTACTACAATATGTGGTGCTGCGCCATCACAACCAGCAAGAAGAGCTTTAGTGGGAGCTCCTCGTGTTGTTACCGAGGCTGGTCAGTACTTGCTGCTCTGCTCGATCTAGTACTACTAGTACTTACTAATCTAGTAATGGTAGGTAAGTACAAGAAGTTACATCCAAACTGAATACGCGTGCATCGATTGATCTCAACTCGGAGACTCGTTGTGGCAACTTGTATGGATTTGTACATTATACCAACAGATCAACTAAGGAAACTCTGCGTAAATCAATAAAACCTGTAAATATTAACATTAGCATTACGCGCGCTTCATTCTTTCGCTCTTGATTGTCTGTTTATTAGATTCTGTGTGACCTGTTGCTCTTCTTCTCGATCTTTATACTACTTAGTGTAAGCCAATGGTCGCTCGTTAATATCGTTAACAATTTGCAGCTTCACATAATTTACCACGTTTGTTACTCGGAATGCATTTTTCCGCGGCTGGCATCGCAAATAAGTTCCGAGGCGCACATAATAACCGTATTATCGTTGCGATTAATGCGCGATCCGTGCTCGTCTCTGGCATTTTTCAATGGTTAATTAGCGCGGCGCGCATTATGTGCATCTCGGATGCACTTGACTTTCATTATTTAAGCGAAATAATACTGAAATATTAATTTAAGCTGCTTATGAAAGAAATAGGTACGAACGAAAGAATGGAAATATTTTAATTGCGGAAACGTTTATAATTACGGTTAATTGCAGGCAAGCGAGTGAAGTTCTGCTGTCGCTGATACAGAGCACGAGGTGTTTATTGTAAGTTTCATAACACGCATTGCACAATCTCTTTGCGTCTTCAGCGAGTGGAATTTTTGATGCGTTTTTGGGAAATTCCTCGATATCATACGCAAGTAATCGATAGGTCTGGAATGTATAGCATCTTTGGATTTTATTGTCCAATTAGTGAGCGATTGGAAAATTGTATGACTGGACGGTGGGCAGTCGAAAAATCCACATCATGACAACTGGATTTAATTACAGGTTGCGGCTGTGGTCACGCTAATTCGGAGGTAAAACGGAATAAGTTAACATTCCTCGTATTTACTACTCGATTTTAACGACTGGATTGTCAGTTTCGTGTTACACCGCACCGTCCGAAATTCGTTTGACATTCCAAACAGCGATCGATGTTGCGGTGGTTCAATTTCCAATATTTGTGCTCGTTCGCGCTCGCTCGCCTGATTTGAATTCTTGCGTTAAGTTGATGAACAATTAAATCATCCGAAATGCATCATGCCCCAGTCGCGTGTGACCACACGAGCTGCGTGGAAGCAGGTTGAAGGTTGAAATCTGAATGGGCGCACGAACTTTCTTCCTTTCTTCACACATACGGATTCATTACGCGCTGCGGCCGGCAGCTCTAGTTCGTGGTTATTAATATTGAGCGAACACTTCAAGTTCGATTCACTTAGCTCGATTTTCCAGTCACAAAACAGCGTGGAAACACGTTTTACATCCAAGTTAACACTCGGCTGTCGGCTCCCTACAGATGGATATAACATTAAGCGCATGAGCTGCGGAGTTCGTTGATTTATTAAAGACTTCAAAACAAACGCGATCCGAAAATATTGACTTTTATCTTCGTCCCGAGACGAATACCAAGAGTCGGAGCCGTGTTGGAGTGCGGTTCGGGTCGATATTGAGCTCAAGCATCAAGGATTCGGGATGGGTTGGGTTGAGTGTGGAGTCCAGCGGAACAACACACTTGAGATTCAATTTTGTTGGATGTTTCCTTGAGTGTACACGGATAATACCTCGCTGGTAACAATGGTGAAAGATGCATTATTAAGTAGTTGCGTTTTTTTTTTGTAAATTAGTATTTTGTGACAAATTGCCGTTTCGAAAGTATCCGCTTTAATTTTTCTCTACGCGTGGTCTTTTCGCCTCGTCGCGTTTTTTTCGGCGCAGTAATACCTTCTGCATTTATTATTTTATTAGCGGCAATTCGATGAGCCGCAAATGACACGCGGCCGCGCTGATACACCGCTGGCCACGCGTGTGTAATAAAACGTAAAATTATAGTTCATAAAGGCGTTTGTCAGCGGCCGAAAATAAAACATTCGTGTCTCACATGTCGAACAGCTCGTTACAGAAACGCGACTTAGCTGCACGAATTAGTCGCAGTTTGCGGCGCTCGAAAACGAGCGCGATGAGTTCGGGGGCATCGCAGATGAACACGACGCTCGCGCAAGCCGCGGAAGACGAGATAAGCGCACGCCGGCGAATCGAAGACTCAATACAAGTCCCACTGTCCTCGATTTTTATTTAATCGAAACCGAACGGCGGCGCGCACGGTAGACCAGCACTAAATACACTCGCGCATGGATCACAGGTGTGGATTATAAACGCGCGCGTTCGCAATTAGCATTAGGACTGGCCGCACTTTCGTCCGCGAGATATACCGGCGGGAAACGCGCGCCTGCCCTGGTTCAAATTCGATCAATTCGATTTTCACGCGACTACTGCGCCTAATTGAAACATTTTCGAGAATGCGAGATGGTCGATTTTGTCAGCGGCGCTTATCGTGATCTTGCACTGAACTAGGTCTCGTTATACTTGCAAAACTCGACACTCGCCTGCATACCTCAAGAGTGCGTTATCACATCGACATCATAATCATAATCGATGCATTCAAACGAAATTTTAGCTCGATGCGTTGAATTTGTTACAGTCGAGAGGATTGTTCGCGATATAAATTGCGATAGTCAATATGTTATATATGTTAAATCGTACACAACATCGCCGCGAGCGCAGTTTCGTACACATTTTCATTCCTCATTCTTTAATTTACATCCATTAGACATGAATTCCACGGGCAGAGCGTGAAGAAAGCTCCGGCGACTCTCGGTGTTACTCATTCTGCATAATTCCGAAACTCTTCTATTCTAATATCATTTATAAACCAGGTGTTGAAGTAATAATTTATTATTGTTTTTTATATAATAAAAAATTACATGCATAAATTAATCATGGGATAAAAGTGCATTGAAGAAGTTTTAACCGATGTGGAAAAAATCGTCAAGTTTTGGTGGACTTTGAGTGCTTTTAAGGGCTAAGTGAGTACATCCTGTGTAGAATCGCTGCAGGTGGTAAGGCTTTTTCGCTGGCAGGTATTACCTTCACCTTTGTCGTCGATGGCTGTGCGCTCCTAGGCTCCTGCGGTTCTTGCGCGCATGAATCACCCGTCGAAGATTTCGTGCATTAGTCATGCCATTAATGGCTGTAATGTTTAATGCATGCGCGCGCGCGCCCGGTAAAGAATCGCGCGGCTGCTGCTCGCCTGCACGAAAATTAGAGGAAAATTTTCGATAATGTCAATTAAAACATGAATTACATGCGCGCGTGAGATCGTTTAAGCGCGCGTCGGGCGCGCAATTAACGAAACAACAGAACAGATGCTTCCGATATATTAATATCGCGTCGGCAAAAAGCTTCATGCACGTGATCGCAAATTGAATAATTTCGTTTGCCCGCACGGCCCGGCCCGGTCGATTTAATTGATTCGTTGATTTACGATGACGACGACGGCCGCAACGTCAACGACTGCGCGCTGGGCTCGATTCGTTTTAATTTTAATTACTTGTATTGCGCTCGCGTTTTTTTTTTGTTGCTTTCACGCTCCTCTCGCTCATATTATCTGCTGCGTCGTTTCGTGTTCTATCCAGAAACATGTAGCACACACCGGAAAAATTCCGCACGACGTACGAAATTGTTTCGTTTACGTTTTCTACTGGTGAGTTTGGCACAAAAGATCAAATTAATTGATCCGCGAGCCATAAATTACCTACATACAGGGCGAACGATTAGAAATCCTCGCACAAATACACACATTTTGTGCAGCAAATATAAACTAGTCAATGAAAGACTTTGCGTCGCTCGTAGTGCGCATTTTCTGCCTTTAATTGTTTCATTTAATTTTCAGCCGG